TCCAGGATTAAATGGGGTGAGGTGCATGCAATAGCTATCTGCACTCTGCAGACAGTGTGTCTCTGGAAGCCTCAGCTTCCTCTCACCCTCCCTACGGCCCCAAGGAGCAAATGTTCCTTCGCTGAGTGAATGACTTGCTGTGTAATTTGTAGGTGTGAAAGGAACTGCACAGCCACAGCTTCCTCGAGTTTTACTTGGTTAATAAAAGTCTTAACAGGTTCTTCATTCCATGAGAGAATTCTGCTCCCAAATAGCCTTTCGGCTCTGAAGTAAGGGTACAAAATATGTGTCAGCGGTTCCTAGCCCCTACTGTGCCACATGCTAAAGGCACACCCCCCCCAGCCACCATCCTGGCTGCCTTCCCCATCATCCGTACCCATCGGCTACTGGTCCTGTGGTCCTGGTCCTGAGCCTAGACCCCTCCTGCCTCCTCACCTAGCCCAGGGGCAGTTTAGGGCAGGTAAGGGCAAATTATTTCTTAACAGGTCCTAGGGAAGGACCCAGGCCAGGGGAGTGACATGGGCAAACCTTGCCAGCCTCGGCTCCTCCTGATCCATCTGTCCTCCCTTCCTGCTCCTCTGGGAGCCTCCTAGGATGAAGGACCCATCAAGAATAGGGGACAGTGGCTCACGCCAGTAATTCCAGCACTTTGGGAGGCCGAGGTGGGCAGACCACCTGAGGTCAGGAGTTTGAGACCAGTCTGGCCAACATGGTGAAAACCCGTCACTACTAAAAATACAAAAAAATATTAGCTGGGCATGGTGACGGGCACCTGTAGCCCAAGCTACTTGGGAGGCTGAGGCAGGAGAATTGCTTGAACCCAGGAGGTAAAGGTTGCAGTGAGCCGAGACCACACCCTAGTACTCCGGCTAGAGGATGGGTTGTGAGAACCATTGGCCAGGTCCCTGCCCATCCAAGGTGGCTCCCAGAACATCCTCCCCAGGCAGTACAGCCTGACTGTCAGATGGCCTCACCCTCCTCATCCCCAGACCCTGCAGGCGGCAAGGCCCTCGAGGCACAGCAATATTCACTCCCTAACTCATCAGGAAGCCCCAGCCCCACCCCGTCCCACATTCCCTGATCACCTGCTCTTCCTGTCAGATCCCACCTGCTGGCCTCCCGAGAAGAGCCCAGGACAGGCTGTCCGCCTGGCCTTCAACCTCTCAGGCTACTAGCAGACCCAGGTGTACCTTCCATCCTCCTCCACGGACCTGAGCATGGGTGTAGGGGGATAAGGGCTGCAGAGGAAGAGGGCTTTTGACATGGGCAATGCTTCTTCATGCTGCCAGTGACAGCAGCAACAAAAACCACAAAACTCACAAGCCCCTAGAAATCCAGGTGTCTGCTTCAAACTGGGAAACTGCGTTCATCCCCCCACCCACCCTGGGAGTCCCCAGCCAGAGCCAATGGGATGGGAGAGAGGAAGATGAGGGGAAGCACATGGGCAGGAGAAAGGCGGTGCCCGGGGCTTGGGGTCTGGAGAAAGTTCCAGGACCTACCCTGACTAGGAGGGGCCTGGCAACCTGGTTCTTGTACCCCATCCTCCAGCAGCCCCTGCCCCCCATCTTTGATGGGGCCCACATCCCAGGAGGCAACAGCAGCAGGGCAGGTAAATGACGCCTCACTCCACAGCTCAAGGGAGATTGCTGTCCCAGGTGGCCCTCCCCACAGCAACATAAGCAGCTGTGGTGTTTTTGAAACAGTGTCTTGCTCTGTCACCCAGGCGTAGGAGTACAGTGGTGTAATCTTGGCTCACTGCAACCTCTGCCTCCTGGGTTCAAGTGATTCTCCTGCTTCAGCCTCCTTAGTAGCTGGGATTACAGATGCACACCACCATGTCTGGCTAATTTTTGTAGTTTTAGTAGAGGCAGAGGTTTCACCATGTTGGCCAGGCTGGTCCTAACCCCAGGTGATCTGCCTATCTCAAAGTGCTGGGATGACAGGCCTGAGCCTGTTCCCACAGTCTTCAGAAGCCAAATGTAGGGATGCTGTGAGTTGAGGCAGACTCTGGTGGGTGGGCTTGGGAACCCAGGCACCTTTTTAAAAGTCACATTAGTCCCAAACTAGTGACTCAGAAGCTTCTGGAACACAGCCCACTGTAAGCTGGGGCCTCCTGCCTTCGATCTCAGGCTCCGCATTGGACCTTGAGAGCCCTCTGCCCCCTCCTGCTCTGTTCCAAAAGCTGCCTCCCAGGCACTGCTTCCATGCCAAGGTCAGTTCCCCTGGGATGCTAATATTTTTATTCTTGATTTCTATCTTTTTTGTTTCTGTTTTCTAAGTTTTAGAGTTTTGTATCTTAACAGTACCCAAAGGAGAGCAATCATGAGCTTAGAAGTGATCTCCAAGTAGCCACATCGTGGGGAGCCCAGGCCTGGGCCCAGCCCTGCAGCCACACCCTCACAATCCTTTTCCCTGGAAGCTCCAGGAGTCTCAAAATAAGCTCCCTGTCCACCTGGGGAGATGGAGCTAGAGAGACCAGTCATCCCAGATCTCAGATCTTAAGCTTAAAAGGAACCTAGGGGGCTGGGCGCGGTGGCTCATGCCTGTAATCCCAGCTACTCAGGAGGCTGAGGCAGGAAAATTGCCTGAACCCAGGAGGTGGAGGTTGCGGTGAGCCGAGATCATGCCATTGCAGCCTGGGTAACAAGAGTGAAACTGTCTCAAAAAAAAGAACCTAGGACTGGCTAACGCATGGCCTGACATGACTGGTGTTTCCGCCTGGCTGATGACCAGAAACTCACAGCCCCTCCAACCTGTGCCTCTACAGAAATTTGGAGTGGGGAAGGCAGCACACAGCCACTGTCCCTGGGAGGTGGGATGGGAAGCAAAGTTCCTGCTCTCAGGGAGCTCTTGGTGCTCCATGGAACACACACAAATGAGCCCTGGGGTGGGAGCCGACGCCTGGGGTCCTGTCCTGTTTCTGCCACCAAAGTTCTGGGTGACAGTGAACCAGTTACCACCCATCTCTGTTTCCTCCTCTGTCAAATGGGGAGTCTGGACTAGATGTCCTGCCAGGCCCCTGCCTATGTTAACATCCTCTAACTTTCTAAAACAAATCCGCAGGCTAAGGCATAAGCGGAAAAATTAGCAGAGGAGCAAAAGGTTCTGTCCATCTTTCCTGGGCCTGCCCACAGCACCTGGTCTCCAGGGCCCAGGCAGACCTCCATAGCCGCTAGAGGCTCATGGCCATCAGCAAGGATCCTGGGCATGCCCTGCCTCTCCTGACACCCAGCAGGTTACCGCTTCAGAGCTGACTCTACCCCAGCCCCACTAACAACAGAACAGAGCTGGCGTGGAAGGTAGGCCGTCTCTACCAGCTGGACCACTGCAGGGTCAGGAAGTGGGGGAGCCTCTGGACCATCATCAGCACGAGGCTGGCAGGCTGGGCACCAAACCCAGATGCAGACATCTCCGCCTCATGCTCTGGTCACTGGCCTGCTGGCTCCTGAGGGACACACATTGCCGACTGTCCCTCAGGTCCCTAGTCTCTGCAGCTCCTCAGGGCCCAACACTTGGTGGGAACACAATACTATTATGAATAGTTAAGCTGAGGCCGAAATTCTACCCCTTCCAGTAGAACTCGTGCTCCAGGACCAGCAGACCCTGTATCGCAGTGGTCAGCATGACTATCCCCATTTGCATCCCTACCCCACAGCTTCAGTGGGGAGACCGCCACTCTCCACATCACAGAACTGCCCGGGCACCCCGAGCTCCCCAGAAGAAGGAAATATGATAACTGCATCTTCGCTCTGGGCAGCCCTTCATGTATCCTAAAGTGCTATCCCCCACATGTCCTGCAATCCTGACAACCATGTCGTGCAAGCAGGGTGGACGTTATCCCCATTTAGCAAAGGGGCACTGAGTCCACATAGCTAGTCAGTGTCAGGGGAGAGATGGGAATCGAGGAGCCCTCTTCCCCTGGGAGGTCCTCCTCGCCAGGCTCACTGCCAGGGAGTGGCCAGGACGATCTGTCTCAAGACCAGCCCTGGGTGGACACAGCCTATGCCCACACTCAGGCTGGGCACAGGTGAAGAGTGGCCCTGCCCAATGCCCTGATATCCTCCTTTCTCTCGGGGCAACTACAGGCAGATTCTGGGCAGTGGCACCCGGAGGCAAAGACAGGGAGTATGGGGAGAGGTGAGAGCCCGGGAAGCCCCCAGGACATATTTGGACTCAAAGGCAAAGCAAACACCAACTCCAACAGGTCCCACGTTGGTGAGAGCTGCCAGAGAGGACCTGCGGGGGGAACGGTGGGCAGAACTCACCTCCCGCAGCAGCTGCATCTCCTTCAGCTCCTCCTGCTGCTGCTGGGCCACAGTGACTCCCAGTACCAACATGTGCAACACACAGGAAACCACGGAGATGATCACGATGGGGCTGAGGCTGAGGGGCAGCGTGATGAAGAAGGAGAAGACGAAGAAGACCTGCCAGCCCACCGTGTCACTGGCCGCATGGGCACCTACGAAGTTCAGGCCCAGGTAGGAGAAGATCTGGGCGGTTATGAGCAGCCACAACAGGTAGGGCACTACCCTGCGGGTGACCCGGTCCGGGAGCAGCCCCTTTTTGCAGAGCACGAAGAGGACGATGTCCAACACCAGTCCAATTCCAGCCACCGCGAGGGGAGCCAGCTTGTTGCTGGAGAAGACCACAGCACACATGACCACCACGTAGCAGTCAAAGAGGGCTGCAAAGACCACCAGCACCAGCAGGGTCTCATGGCGCTGCCTTTTGAAGTAGGTCTGGTAGAGGTTCTCCAAGGACTCCGGCACGAAGGTCAGCCGCATGAAGCGAGGCAGGCACAGGCAGGAGCCCGAGTTCCGGACAGAGATCTCATGGGTCCGGCCTACCCCGCGGTCAGGGTCGGAGGGCAGGCTAACAGAGTACTCGGCTGAGTACTCGGCCGAGTACTCAGGCTCCGAGAAGCCCTGGTTCCTCGGCATTCTGGCTGGCGTCTGCTGCTGGCCGTAGAGAAGTAGACTGGGAACAGAGGAAGAGCTCCCGGGGCCACCTCTCAGGGCTCTCTGAGACCTGGGGGAGAGGGGGTCTGAGGGCCTCTTCTTGGCTGGACAGAGGGGCAGCCACCTCCAGCAGGAACACAGAGTGGGTTTCCAGGGCACAGGTAGCGCTGATCATCTAGAGCTGAAAAGGGCATTGCTGAGCAGAAGCACCTCTTCCCTCCTACCTTGCGGTTTCCCATGACCCGCCCTAACCCTCATAAAAGAATCTTTGCTGCAGGAGACTCCCAATCCCGGGCCTTCCCTGCCACCCCCGGCTCACACCGCCGCCCACCGCACGCACACTGGGTCCTGTCCACGCCAGACACTCAATTTCCTGTCCCTGGCTTGTGGAAGGGCCTAGCCGCCTCTCCATCCCCGGCACCCGGTTTCTCTCAGTTATCTCTTCTCTCTCAGTCCCTGACTTCCTCACCGAAATTCCCTCCAGGCCCAGTCCTTAGAAGCTGAAAATAAAACGTGCCGGAAAGAAGGTCCTGGAAAGAAACCAGGACCATCTTGGGGATTCCTGAGCCTTCCTTCTGTTGACTTCCTTTTTCCACCAAGCCCTCGGAGACTCCGGCTCCGATCCGGCCCCCTTCCCAAGCTCGGGCCGCCGTCTTCCCCGGAAGCCCGGTCCGGCCCCTGCGTTTACCTGTGCGGGAACTCGGCCACCGCGTGCTCCGGGACGGTTCCCGCGCGGGCCGGGGTGGGAGGACTCAACGCGCCCGAGGGCTGCTCCCCGCAGAGCCGCGCCGCCCCGCTAGCGCCTGGGGCCCCGGCCGGAGCACGATCTCCCGCCGTCAGGCCCGGGATCCGGCCCTGAGAGGCGCAGCGCTGCCCCTCAGCATCCGCGGGCGTCCGGCCGCAGGGGGAAGGAGGCGGCGGCGGCGACGGGGGCCGGGAGATCCGGAGGCGCCGGCCCAGCGCGCCCGCCCTGGGGCTGCGGCTCCGGTGCCGGCAGGCGCGGGCGGCGGCGAGCGCGACTCTCCGGACCCCTCCCCTGCACCCGCGGCGGCTAGGGGCGCGCGCGGGGCCCTCCCCGGCGGGAGCGCGGGCAGAGCCCGGGGAAGCCCGCCAGCATCCTTTCGCCTGCCCGCCCGCGCCGAGCCGAGCCAGCCGAATCCGGGCTCGGAGCGCTGCACAGCAATTCCCCGCGCGGCGCCGGCGGCGCAGGGGCCACGCGCGCTCCAGGCCCCGGGAGGCAGGAGGCGGGCAGGGCGGCCCCTCCCTCGCCCCAGTCGCCGCCCTGTCGGCGGCGTGTCCCGGAGTGGGGCGGCGGGGGAGGCGCGGGGCGGCTGGGGAGGCGCCCGGCAGCGGTCCGGGGACCCGCGCTGGCGAGAGCTGTAGGGGCCCGGGCAGCCCCCGATCCTGCACGGGCGGCGGGCTGGGGCGACGGCGCCGTGGAAGCGTGGGCGTGGGCGTTGGGCGGGAAGGATGGGGGCGAATCCACGCCTTCCCGTGGGCAGGCCCCGGGTCTCGGAGGGTGGAAGCCCGGGACGCGCCCGCTCGCAGGTGAGGCGCGCTCGGGGCACCGTGCCACCTTCTCCTCCTCCGCGGCTTCCTTCCGGGCCCGGAGAAGCTGGGGCTCAGATTTGGGGACAGCTCCGCCGCGGAGCGCTTGGGGCCTAAGGATCCCCGCCCATCCTAGGAGCCCAGACTCCGAAGCGCCGGGCCTGAGCTTTCCGCAGAGGGGGCCCGCGGTGAAGGCCTGTCCTGCTCGCACGTGGAGGGTGGCGGTGGCCCAGTGGGCATCGTGCACGTGGAAATGGAAGAGACGCTGCTTCGAAGAGATTTCCCGTGCACGTTCTACCCGTTTGAGACGTGTTTAAGTTCACATACTCTCCCTTAAAGACGCAAATGTTCCTTTGAATGGTTAAACTCATTAGTCTCTTACACCATAGCATAAATTATTTTCCTTGCATTTGACACAACACCGTGCTAAGATCAACTACAGGCTTTGGGAATTTACATAAAGGAAGAGGAGAGAGATAGGATGTTTTGGAACAAAAGCACATGTGGGGAGGTGGGTGCTGAGGACAGCCAGCGGCGTTAGGGGGTCATCTTCCCTGGGGAGAGCTGAAGGAATGAGCAGAGGGAAGAGAAACTCGGCTATCCTATGCCCCTGAGTTATCCGCGGGCACCCCTTCCAGAACCTCAAGCAGCACCTTCAGTCCCTCAGGGATTGGATCCATTAGAGAATCGATCCTGCCACTGCTGTTTCTACCATTCCCTCACACTCCATCTGAAAAGACGCCAACTTCAGCCCAGCCCAAACTTTTCAGGACTTTGATTCTAAAGGTAGTGGACCTGACATTAGCTATAGGAGGATGGTAATTTAAATAAAGCAAAACTTTGCCCCATTGTTTTATTTAATTTTTTATTTTTATTTATTTAAGACCGACTCTCACTGTCATCCAGGCTAGAGTGCAGTGTCTTGATCTCAGTTCACTGCAACCTCTGCCACCTGGGTTCATGCAGTTCTCCTGCCTCAGCCTCCTGAGTAGCTGGGATTACAGGTACGCACCACCAAGGGGTAATTTTTGTATTTTTAGTAGGCGGGGTTTCACTATGTTGGCTAGGCTGGTCTTGAACTCCTGACCTCAAGTGATCGGCCCACCTTCCCCTTCTAAGGTGCTGGGAGTATAGTGCCACTACAATCGGCTGCCCTATTTTTTTAATTTGCTGGAGGTTTTTGGGTTTGGGGGAATTTTTTTTAAGGGAGGTATTTATTTACTTATTTATGAGACAGAGTCTCACTCTGTCACCCAGGCTGGAGTGCAATGGCAATCTTAGCTCACTGCAACTTCCACCTCCTGGGTTCAAGCAATTCTCCTACCTCAGCCTCCCAAGCAACTTGGATTACAGGCACCCACCACTATGCCTGGCTAAATTTTGTATTTTTAGTAGAGACAGGGGTTTTGCCAGGTTGGCCAGATTGTTTTCGAACTCCTAACCTAAATCGATCTGCCTGCCTCAGCCTCGAGGGCCTGCCTCAAAGATGGAAAATGCTAGAAGGGCCTCATCCATCTCACTCACAGTGACTTCCCCAGTACCTGGCACCTAGTAACTACTCAAAAAATAGTCATTGAATGGATGGAAGTCTCCCTAAGAAGAAACGTTTCTTTCTCTCTCTTTTTCTTTTTCTTTCCTTCTTACTTTCTATTTTTTTTTTTTTTTTTTTAGAGATGGGGTTTCACCATATTGGCCAGGCTGGTCTCAAACTCCTGACCTTGTGATCTGCCCTCCTCAGCCTCCCAAAGTGCTGGAATTACAGGTGTGAGCCACTGCCCACCCAGGGTACTTTATAAAGAGGCATTGGCTGTCCCTGGAGGGACCAATGGTCTCATTCTCTTATGCTGAGAATGTCCTGCCCCCAGGACAATGAAAATAACCACCCTCAGAGTGAAAAGGATGGGATTATGGGGGAGGTATTTTCCCTTTCTACATTTTGTATTGATGTAACCTGGATGACTGGCATTCTTCACTTTTATAATCAAACAATACTGGAAATCTATTGTTCAAACACACTCAACTCAGGACCTCAGAGGGCTGCATGAGTGACTTGCCCCTGTGGCTTGTCCTAAAAGGAAGAAAGAATCATGGACTTAGGTTAAAGCTTGGAGGACATCCTGACCCCCCAATCTCCAGCCGGCATCTGCCTAGATGGAATACATCTTTGCTGAGGGCACCTTTTTGTTTGTGCCCTCAAGACTAGAGATGATGGCTGAGAATTAATTGTTATTGGATAAACAAGAATGGTTTGACCCCTCCTGGGAATGGGGTGGCTCCTGAATCCAGCAAACAATAGATCAGAGCAGAACTCTGTGTCCTGGGGGAAAACAAGTGGGAGAGAGATCATTAGTTCCCCTGGTGCTGGGCACAGGAGAGCCCTGTTTGGGGCCTGAAAGCAGAGCCTGAGACAAGGTCTGCATGCAGGTGGTTTAACTGGGCAAGTGATTCCAGGGAAACAGAGTAGGGGCCTGGGAAGCTCAAAACAGAGAAGGCGCCAGGCGTGGTGGCTCACGCTTGTAATCCCAGCACTTTGGGAGGCTAAGGGGAGCAGATCATGAGGTCAGGAGTTCGAGATCAGCCTGACCAACATGGTGACACCCCGTCTCTACTAAAAATACAAAAAAAAAGCTGGGTGTGGTGGCGCACACCTGTAATCCCAGCTACTCAGGAGGCTAAGGCAGGAGAATCGCTTGAACCCAGGAAGTGAAAATCGCAGTGAGCCGAGATCATGCCACTGCGCTCCAGCCTGGGCGACAGTGTGAGACTGCCTCCCACCAAAAAAAAAGAGAGAGAGAGAAGGTAAATATGAGGGTTTGTGACAGAGTTGGGGGGCCTTGATCCTGCTGGGACCCTGTGAGGAGCCTTGCAGAAGCCACCTCAGAGCTTTGCACTGGTGTTTGTCCTCTTGTTGGTTAAGAGTCGCCAGTCGGGGTGTTCTCTCGCTGGTTCTTCCAGGTTTGTGCAAGGAAGTCTAAGCAGTGAGCGCCTGGGCAGGAAACGAGGGATCCTCAGTGCAGACGCCTGGCAAGTCCTGCTGGAGTGTGCCTGCAGCAGGAACCGAAGTAGAGAACGGGGCGGGGGGGGGGATGTGGTACGTGACACTCAAGCATCCTGTGCAGGCCCAGACCCCTCATCCGCTCCTGCTGGCTCAGAGGCTCAGCAGTTTGGATTCGGTCACCTGGAGGAGAGGCATGTGGTAAGTAGGGGAAGCTGGCTGTCTGGATTCAGAGAGCTCAGCTTTGAGCATGGCCTTGATGAGCGCGGAGGACCTCTGACCAATTACTCAGCCTCCCAAGCCTGTGTCGCTGTGGTGGTTAGCGATAGCACTAACCCCTAGTCAGGATCCTTGTCAGGAAGGAGGAGCTTCCTGGGTACTAAAGTAGTGGGCGGATCTCAACGGAACAAGTCAACTGGAGTTGCGGTCAACTCGAAGGACAGCTGAGCAGCCCTGAGCCCTTCTGCCCTCGCGTGGCCTGCACAGCTGGGCTGGCTGCCTGCCCCCCAGGCCTCTCCATGGCTGTCTCAGGGTCCCTCAACTTCAGCATAGTCTCTGACAGCATCGGCAGCACTGGCCCGTCTGTCCCTGTGTCCTCCCTTCTTTGTCTCTGTCCCTCTTTCTCCCTTCTTCTATTCCGCGTTGGAGTCTCCCTGATTCTCGCGGGGTCACTCACTGGGCCACTGTGGATGGGTGTAGAGGGTGTGTGAATGTCAGGACTGTGTGAATGTGAGGAGGGATGTGAGGAGTGTGTGTGGGTATGAGTGGGGGGTGTGTGTGTTCCTTCACATTTGCGTGTGTGAGTAAATGTGAGTGCATGTCTGAGAATGCACGTTCACGTTTGCCTGTGTGTGTGAGAATTGTACCTTCATGTTTGTGTGTGTGAGTGCAAGTGCATGTATGTTCATGTTTGTGTGTGTGAGTGGATGTGTGAATGCTCATGTGAAAATGTACATTCACATTTCCATGTGAGATGTGTGTGATTGTGAGAACATACTTTTGAATGTGAGTGGACGTGTGAGTGCATGTGTGAGAGCATGTACCTTCATGTTTGTGTGTGGGGGGTGGGTGACTGCATGTGAGAATGTACCTTCATGTTTGTGTGGGGGTGTGTAATTATGTGTGTGAAAAAGTATGTTCGCTTGTGAGTGGGTGTGTGAGTGGGTGTGTAAGAATGTACTTTCATGTTTGTGGGTGTGAGTGAATGTGTGAGCATGATTGTGTGTGAGAACATACCTTCGCATTTGTGTGTGATTGGGTGGGTGATTGAGAACGTGTGAGAACGTACCTTCACATTTGTATGTGAGTGTGTGTTTGATTGTGTGTGAGAATGTACCTTCAGGTTTGTGTGTATGATTTTGTGTGAGAATGTACCTTCACGTTTGTATGATTGTGTATGAGAAGGTACTTTCACATTTGTATGTAAGTGGGTGTGTGATTGTGAGCGTGTAAGAATGTACCTTCAACGTTTGTATGATTGTGAGCATGTGAGAACGTACCTTCACGTTTGTGAGTGGATGTGTGATTGTGAGCGTGTGAGAACATACCTTCACGTTTGTGTGTGTATGATTGTGAGTGTGAGAATTAACCTTCACGTTTGTGTGTGAGTGTGCGCGTGCACATGTGTGCCTGGCAGTTGCCTTGTCCGTCCTGCTGGGTGCCACCTCACCTCTTCCTCCCCTCTCCTTGCTCGATGCTGTCCCAGCAGGACTCTGCTGGCTGCGCTCGGGCACTGTTTCTAGGCCCTGGCACAGGCAGAGGGCAGCGGGCCGAGGAGGCACAGTGAAGACATCCAGGTCTGGGCTGTGCTGGGGCTGGGCGTGGCTCCGGGGCTATGCCCCTCGCAGGTGTGAGCGTCTCCTCGGGAGCAAGGACCAGGGTCTGTGGTTCTGCCTGCCGAGTCTTTGAAACAGAGTGGCTCTTCCATAACCTGGCATTGAAATAATGTCACCTGCACACTAGCCACAGTGCCAGTGACACCATGGGCCCAACCTCCAGACAGTGGCAGCAGCTCCCTTTCTGCGCCCACCCTGCAGGCACTGCGCGAGTACTTCTTTGGTTTCCGAGGTGGGCACTGCCGGCGTCCCTGTTTTACAGGTGGGGAAGCGGGAGCGCAGAGACAGGAGGTAACTTGCTCCCGACCCAGGCCTGGGCCACCCAGCAGCGCGGAAGGTTCAGGAAGTTTCCTTTGGTTGCCACTGCTTCACTATGGCCATGGGAGCCTTTGACCTCAGGGACTCAGCGAACTGGAGAAACGGCTCCCTGATGGCAGCTGAAAGACTCCAAACCCCATTCAGCTCCAGCCCAGGTGGAGACATTGAGGCCTGAGAGGTTAAATTTGGGAAGAGAAGGACACGTGCCCATGGAGCGTGACACGGCGTGTTAATGCTGAGTAATCCCGAGGCCCCCGCGGGAGACGTTTCCAAAAGCGCCCGGTCCGGCCCCTCCGGAAGAGGCACCATAGAAATGTGTGCTAAGGAGCCTCCCTGCGGCCTGCAGGGGATAAGAGAGTAGGAAGCTTTCAGAACAAGGGTGGCTAGAAAAGGCCCAGGCTGGGGCCGGGCACCGTGTCTCACGCCTGTAATCCCAGCACTTTTTGAGGCCGAGGCGGGTGGATCACGAGGTCAAGAGATGGAGACCATCCTGGTCAACATGGTGAAACCCCGTCTCTACTAAAAATAGAAAAAATTAGCTGGGCATGGTGGCGCTTGCCTGTAATCCCAGCTACTCCGGAGGCTGAGGCAGGAGAATTGCCTGAACCCAGGAGGCGGAGGTTGCAGTGAGCCGAGATTGTGCCATTGCACTCCAGCCTGGGTAACAAGAGCAAAATTCTGTCTCAAAAAAAAATATACAAAAAATTAGCTGGGCTTGGTGGTGCGTGCCTGTAATCCCAGCTACTCGGGCTGAGGCAGGAGAATTGCTTGAATCTGGGAGGCAGAGGTTGCAGTGAGCTGAGATTGTGCCACTGTACGATGACAGAGCAAAACTCTGTCTCAAAAAAAAAAAATGGCCCAGGCTGGGAGGAGACAAAGGGCCCCGCCCCATGGTCTCCCTCATGGGTGGAAAGTCACCAGTACCCACAAGAGCAAGGCTAAGAGAGCCTGGGGAGCTGGCACAGGTTCTCTGGTCTTAAAGACACATGTGATTAGATCGGGCTCACTGGGATATTCCAAGAGAATCTCTCCATCTCGAGGTCTTTCACTTAATCACGTTTGCAAAGTCACTTTTGCCATGTAAGGCATCATAGTCACAGTTTCTGGGGGTTAGGATGATGACATTATTCTACCTATTACAACAGACTCCCAATGTGATATAGATCCTGGTAGTACTGACTCAGGAAGGACTCATCTTAATTCCGCCCATTAAAATTTAGTTTTTAATCTCCATGCTGTAATAAATGGGCCTTCACCTGTTAAATCGGAGAAGTGAAAATCATCTTAAAGTTCTGTGAAATGGTGATTTTTGAGAAGAGACCCTAGAAATCTTTTTTTTTTTTTAAGACGAAATCTCACTCTTGTCACCCAGGCTGGAATGCAATGGTGCAATCTCTGCTCACTGCAACCTCCACCTCCTGAGTTCAAGTGATTCTCCTGCCTCAGCCCCCTGAGTCATTGGGATTACAGGCATGTGCCACCAAGCCTGGCTAATTTTTGTAGCTTTAGTAGAGTTGGGGGTTTCACCATGTTAGCCAGGCTGGTCTCGAACTCCTAACCTCAGGTGATGTGCCCACCTCGACCTCCCAGAGTGCTGGGATTACAGGTGTGAGCCAATGTGCTGGCCACCCTAGAAATCTTTTAACGCAAGAGAATGCTGTAGAAAGAACTCCCACCTGTGGTTCCTTGCCACCCTCACCCCTTCCAAATTACCCTCAGCTGCAACAGGACAGATCTCTTGTTCCAGGAAGGCTAGTTGGGAACAAGGGGCCATCTGGAGCTGGCAGCTGAATGGATGCCTGAGGTTCATGGATTCTTTCTAAGACTTTTCCAAGCTCCCTTTCTACTGCCACTGGAATTGTCCCTCAGAAACACAGTTCAGACTGTCTGACTTCCCAATCCTTTAGCATCCAGGCTTTTCCTTGGTTAAGCCCCAGCCTGCTTACTGTCTCATATAATCTGTACAACAGTCATATGAGGTAAGCACAATTGCCATGTCCATTTTACAGATGAAAAAACTGAGATTAGGTTCATAACGTGCCCAGGGTTCCATAGCTGGTAAAGCACTGCCCACGTTTACGCCCACACCTCTCACTCCAGGGCCCAACACTTAGACACTGTGGCCTGCTCGACATCCTGGGTCATTGCTAGAGGAATGGGGTGGGGGGCTCGTGCCTTCTCCTCTTCTTGAGTAGGGGCCTACTTAGCTGTGGACCAGAAGAGGTGGGCCATGGGATAGGGAAAGCAGGAGGAGTTAGTAAGATGGAGGGGAGGCAGGCCCTCTATCTTAAGGGCCTCTGTCTGTTCAAATCCAGAGACATCCTCTCCACCCTGGGAGGCAGGAAAGCAGCCCAGTTAGAGAGATGGAGCCCTGGACCGTAGATCCGCAACAGGGCAACACCCGATCCTGGCCCAGGAGAGGTCTGCAGCCTGGCCGGAAGGGCTCAGACCAGCTCGATTAACCTACTGCTGACCCATTTTCATATCTTAAAATTAGAAACAAGAGTACAAGCTCCAGCTATTGTATTTATCAAGCCAGAGCAGAGTGAGGCCAATGTTTGTGGAAACAGGTTTCTCTGCTCACCTTGGTCATTTAGGGCACCCTCTCCTCGTTCCCTGGTTAGTGTCCAGGTCTCCCCAGTTCTTGCCTTCTTCCCTCTCTCCCTTCTCAAAACACTGTGTTGGACCAGATCCCAGAGAGTGCCCCACCTGGAGGTGACAATCATTTGAATTTTAAGGCTGAGGTCTTGGGACAATCAATTAATTCCATTTCTTCATCCTGAACCACTTAGGAAGTAGATTCAGAAATGAGGCAGTTGGGGCACAACAGATCAGTTTCAGATGGATGAAAGTTGAGCTGGAGGCTGTGTGGCCACAGCCTAGGATAATGCTTCACTCTGGACTTGAACCCCTCACTCCATCACAGGCATGTGGGTTGCCACAGGCCTCCCTGGAGAGGTGAAGCCTGCCCTGGGGAATATGGAATGGTTAGGAAGGGGCTAGATCACAGAAGGCCTTGAATCTCTAACTAAAACATCCAAATTTGGGCTTTGTGTTTTATAGGAGTTGTTGAGAATTCTTTTGAGCAGATGACATGTCCTGACCAGCTACATTTTTTCAGAGGATTGATTTGGAATAAAAGATGGTTTGAAAAAGAAAGACTGTCAAGAGAAAACTGGGCTGGGCACAGTGGCTCATGCCTGTAATCCCAGCACCTTGGGAGGCCGAGGCGGGTGGATCACCTGAGGTCAGGAGTTCAACACCAGCCTGGCCAACATGGCGAAACCTTGTCTCTACTAAAAATACAAAAATTAGTGGGTGTGGTGGCATGTACTTGTAATTCCAGTTACTTGGGAGGATGAGGCAGGAGAATCGATTGAACCTAGGAATCGGAGGTTGCAGTGAGCCGAGACGGCACCACTGCACTCCAGCCTGGGTGACAGAGTGAGAGACTATCGCGAGAAAGCCGGTGAGAAGATGCAAACTAATCACTCCTGGAAGACAGTGGTCCAAATCTAAGTAATGCTCTCTAGTATTCTTTCCACAAGGGTCTCAGGCCTCTCATGAAATCTCAGGCTGACACTCAAACTAGATACATTCAGGTTTTGGGTATCCATGAGTGTTGGCAGATAGTAGTGTTTGTAACTATTAAATAATTCATGCTGACATTGTCTTCCCTCTTGTGTTCTTTGAAAAAGATGCTGTTTGCCGCACAGGCAGTGGCAAAAATAAGTTAGCCACCTGCTTTGCCACCCTTTCCAATCTTGCTGAGTCCCAAGAGGGATGCCAGGCACTGCTGGGCACCTTTCCGAAAGCATTCTCTTCAGTAGAATATGTGCTAAGAATTTTTCAACACTAGGCCTTGAAAAAAAGTTACATCTTTTAATTTTCATTTTAAAAATTTCTTTTTCACTCCATTAAAATTCATCTCTGTGAAATGGGTTGAGAATGATTTGAGCAATTCTGTCTGTCACCCATTCTAAGATACTGCTGGTGCCACGTGCAGCCATCCCTTGCTGAATGGGAAGCAAGTGGCAGAGCCAGGTGTGCACCCGGAACCTCAGCACTGGGGTCTCCTGTCAAGCAGCCCCCAGTCTCTGTTCATTCGCAGCCCCCCACCCTTAGTCCACGCTACCTGCCAGTTTTACATCTGTTTGGACAGGAAGGCTTACAACCCTGCAGTGCTATTTTTAGGAAGCGCTCGCATTGAGTCAGCCTTTCTGCTGGCTTCACGCCCTCTGCTCGCTGGTTCTGGGGCTGTCTGCTTTTTCAGCAGGAGCCCAGGGCTCACAATCCTCAGACAGTGAGCACGTTGCCTCTCTTTTCCCTGCCCATCTCAGCTTTGGTCTGCACCCCCGTCTTTATCACCTTCCTAGAACAAGGGCAGGCTTTTAGGGGTCCATATTTTCTTGCTTCTCTCATTAAAAGCCTCCCCACAAGTCATGCACATTAGCATGGATAGAGCTGGAGAACCTTCCTCTTGTTTACAATGTTGCATTAATGTAGCTATAAGTGGGAATCGTTTTTTTTTTTAATCAAGTCTACATTCAAACATGCTTTTAAACTAAAAATAACTGAATTTAAATAACTTTAGAGAGAATGATATAAAGAAGGATTTAAATGTTAGCTGTAATTGATACTATTCACCATTTCTAATCCCAGAATATAGCCAAGTGACTGGCATAGAAAAGGTGCTTAAATGCTTGATGGAGGAAGGAATAAGTGAATAAATTCTAAAATGTTAATAGCTTGTGATTTATCCCTCTCAAGGGTGAAACTTGTAATTTAACACGCAGAACTTTTCTTTAATAAATTGCAAATAGTATTCAGGCATCTGCCCAGGGGTGGCACCAGAAATGTTCCAGGCAACTGAGTTTTATTACAGTTGTTGGGATGATTTCTGTCTTAAGTCACCCCATACTCAATTTAAAATGGCTTAACCGGTAGAGAAAATGTATTACCTCTAGAACAAGCGGTTTTTGGATAGGACAGGTTTAAGGTTAGTTATTCTAGTGGCTCAATAACGACTTTAAGGTCCGTGCTCTTTCCACTTCTTCCCAGCTGCCTCGAGGGTAGCAGCTTTGCTGTCACAGGCTCCCGCTCCTCATGGTTGCAAGGTGACTGCCACAACTCCAGCATCACATACAGGCATGACAGTGTTCAACACAGGGGGACAGTTTCTTCCCATGCCTCTCTTTCAGGGCTTCAGAATATTTTACGAGAAGCTCTCCAGAAAAATGTTCCTTATATCTTTCTTTCTTTTTTGGGTTGGAGTCTCGCTCTGTTGCCCAGGCTGGATGCAGTGGCACGATCTTGGCTCACCACAACCTTCACCTCCCGGGTTCAAGGGATTCTCCTGCCTCAGCCTCCCCAGTAGGTGGGACTACAGGTGTGCACCACCATGCCCAGCTAATTTTTGTATTTTTAGTGGAGACAGGGTTTCACTATGTTGGCCAGGCTGGTCTCAAACTCCTCACCTCGTGATCCAGCCTGCCTTGGCCTCCCAAAGTGCTGGGATTACAGGCGTGAGCCACCGTGCCGGCCTTTTTTTTTTTTTTTTTTTTGAGACAGGGTCTCATTCTGTCACCCAGGCTGAAGTGCAGTGGTGTGATCTCAGCTGACTGCAGCCTTGACCTCCTGGGCTTAAGTGTTCCCAACCTCCCACCTCAGCCACCCTTTGTAGCTGGAACTACAGCCATGTGCCACCACACCTAGTTCCCTTGTATCTTTTGGCCAGTGTAGGGTCACATGCCCACTTCCAAACTAATCACTGGCAAAAGAACTGGTAGCACGGTGGACAATTTCAATCATTCATGATTTACAGTTGAGCCATATAGCAGAGGTAGACACACCTGAACACATTAGGACCCTTCCAGCAAGGAAAAAGGGAGGAAGAACTATTGGACAGACCATCTATGGTGCTGGCTCTGGTGCCCCTCAAAGGCCGGGTCTGATTCTCAACAAAGCCAACTCTAGTCATTTTCCTAGGGGATTCTATAAACCAGGGAACTACTTAGACGCATTTCATTGAGAAAGCTACACCAGGATTTGATCAGCTAATGATAACTACATTTAGGTGCTAAAGATACCCCCACTTTTCTTGCTTCCTCTCGGGAAGACTCCTGTTTTCAACATTCAGTTGTATTCTGTGACTTTTTTCATTTGGCTGGGAATTATGTGGTTGATGGATCTACAATCTATTTCACAGTTCAGCAACAGAGGTCATTCATTCATTCATTCATGTATCAAATATTTATTATGCTTTTATTTTTTATTTATCTATTTATTTATTTATTTATCGAGATAGAGTTTTGCTCTTGTTGCCCAGGCTGGAGTGCAATGGCGCAATCTCAGCTCACCGCAACCTCTGCCTTCCTGGTTCAAGAGATTCTCCTGTCTCAGCCTCCTGAGTGGCTGGGACTACAGGCATGTACCACCACGCCTGGCTAATTTTGTATTTTTAGTACAGATGGGGTTTCTCCATGTTGACCAGGCTGGTCTTGAACTCCTGACCTCAGGTGATCTGCCTGTCTTGGCCTCCCAAAGTGCTGGGATTAAGAGGCATGAGCCACCGTGCCCGGCCAGGGATGTGCATTTCTAACAAGCTCCCAGGCTTGCTGAGGCCACTTTGAAAATCACTGTCCTGCACATTTCCTCCATTCCTGAACATCTGCTGTGCTTTGTAAATGGTAGGTGCTCAATAAGTGCTTGTTGCAATGAATCCTACACTTTCTAAAATGAAGCTTCCATCTTAGGGCTACAAAGACTATCCAAGACTTAATACCAACTAATAATGCTGATTGCAGGCTGCTGGTGAGCTGTCAGGTCTTCCTGCCTACAACTTCAAATCATGATGTCAGTTAATTAGACTTCAGCCAAATCCATCCCAACAAATACACTTTACAAAACTCCAAACCTTGTTCTATTAAACATTCCTTGGCAATATGGTAGAGATACTCTCTGGTGCAAGACTGAGGAGCTTTGAGGCATTGGTTAACTGCATCAGGTCTATAGGGAAAATTATAAGCAGTGAGTCACCTTTATGCCTCTGATAGTGAAAAATGGTGTGGTTTTGTCTTTAACAGCAATATACATATATATATTATATGTTTTTATATATATTATACATATTTTATATTTATATATTATATATATTTATTTTATATTACACACATGTATATATATACAATTTTTTTTTGAGATGGAGTCTCACTCTTGTTGCCCCGGCTGGAGGGCAATGGCATGATCTCAGCTCACTGCAACCTCCACCTCCCGGGTTCAAGCAATCCTCCTACCTTAGCCTCTTGAGTAGCTGGGCTTACGGGTGCCCACCACCATGCCTGGCTAATTTTCATATTTTTAGCAGAGATGGGGTTTCACCATGTTGGCCAGGCTGGTCTCGAACTCCTGACCTGAGGTGATCTGCCTACCTCGGCCTCCCAAAGTGCTGGGATTACAGGCATAAGCCACCACACCCAGCCTAACAGCAGTATTTTAGAACAGTCATCTGTCAACATACTTAGTGCCTCCTCAAGTGCCCTGTTAGGAATCCTAAGAGAGAGAAGACTTTGCGACATCATGCCCCCCAAGCTAAGAATGTAGTTGAGGAGATGAGATCAGAGGGGAGAGTTCCTGAGGGTTGGGAGGAAAGCTTGGCTGCTGGAGGCTGCCTTAGAGCCCAGCCCACTTCCCCCCTTTCCTGGAGTCAACAAAGTGCCAAGCTGGAGTTTGATGTCACAGCTTGTGAGATCTTATTGGTTGGTGGTGTTATTTCTCTTCAACATGAAATCAACCACAGTGAGTACTTATACCATGGGAATCAAGCAAAAGCTACAAATCAGGGTTTCTCCAACCCCCTCCCCAGGGAGCCAGTTTGCCAGCAGAATAGTCAGTCCTCAGTCCTAGTAGAAAACTCGAAGACAGCTTGGAAGGTTGTAGTTGCAGTTTTCAAGGTGGGGCTGACATGAAACTGGGTCTGATGTGGCACCAGAGTGTCAGAGTGGTGATGGCTGGAAGAGAGGCCTGAGGGGACAGGCCTCATGGCTGGGATGGGGAAAGTGGCCCAGAGTTACCAACCCGCCAGGAAGCAGGGGGCAAAGCAGGGGAGTCCTAGTGCCCGCCTGGACAACTAGGAGGACCAGTGCTCATACCTCCAGCCTGGAGGCCATGGAGGGACCAATGACATCAGTGGGAGATCGAATGGTAGGACCAGCTAGCCGGTAGCCAAGGCGGTGAGGGTAGGGCATAGCAAGTGGACAGAAAACAGTTCTCCTGGCAGGATGAGAGCTCAGAAGCTTGTTAGAAAGGCACATCCCTGGCTGGGTGCAGTGGCTCATGCCTGCAATCCCAGCCCTTTGGGAGGTCAAGGGAGGCAAATCACCTGAGGTCAGGAGTTCGAGACCAGCCTGGCCAACATGGTGAAACCTCGTCTCTACCAAAAATACAAAAATTAGCCAGGCATGGTGGTGGGCGCCTGTAATCCCAGCTACTCAGAAGGCTGAGGCAGGAGAATCGCTTGAACCCAGGAGGCAGAAGTTGCAGTGAGCTGAGATTGCCCTACTGCACTCCAGCCTGGGCAACACAGTGGGACTGTCTCTGTCTCAAAAAAAAAAAGAGGGCAAATTTGGAAAGCAACTCCTTTTCCTCAAACTCCTACTTTATGAAGCTTTCTGTTGCCTATGGGATAATATTCACATTCCTATCATTTATTGAGCACTTACTACAGACCAAGTACTTCCTAAGCAGTGAAAAAGCATTGTAATTGAATTTCACAATAACCCCTTAGGATAAATATTTTATCCCTATACTTTGGGTAAGGAAAAGTGCTTAGTTTTAGCACTTTTAAGTAAAATTTCTAAGACTACTCTAATGGTTGCATTACGGCGTGTTCACCCCCCGCCTCAACTTTAGATCTCCCCTGGGAAGAAAGAAGGGAGCAGAAATGTGAGGGGGAGATGATCTTGCATTTACTGAGTTTCAATCTTGGGTTAATTGTGTTTAAAACCAGAAGTGATTAACTTACCTTAAGAGGCAAATTTTAAGTTTTCCCATCCTTGGTGAAAATGTGAGCGTGGGAGCTAAGATAACTTCTGTTTCATAAAAGAATGTCTTTGAACATCAGAGTCTTATGGACTTGCTACTGAAAAAAAGGTTTTTTTTGCTTCCCCCAACCCCATCAAAATCAAGTCAGGGTTAGCTCTTTTCCAGGAATTATTTTTCTTTTCTTTTTTTTTTTTTTTTTTCTGAGCTGGGGTCTCACTCTGTCACCCAGGCTAGAGTGCAGCGGCACAATCATGCCTCACCACAGCCTCAAACTCCTGGGCTCAAGGGATCAACCCTCCTCAGCCACTCCAGTAGCTGGGATTATAGGTTCACACCACCACAAACAGCTAATTTTTAAAATTTTTATTTTTTAACTTTTTATAAAGACAGGGTCTTTATGTTGCCCAGGCTGGTTTCAAACTCCTGGCCTCAAGTGATCCTCCCACCTCAGCCTCCCAAAGTGTTGAGACAACAGGTGTGAACCACCACACCCGTACTACTAAAAATTTCAAACCTGTGATATCATCTCAAACCTTTGTAAAATGAGATGCCACAATCACTATTTCATGCAGTAAGAATTTAAGGTTTTTCTTTAATTAAAAAAAAAGCAAGCTTACCCAGGCATGGTGGTGCACACCTATAGCCCTGTTCCTTAGGAGGCTGAGGCAGGTGGATTGCTTAAGCCCAGGAATTTGAGGCCTGGGCAACATGGCCAAAACCCGTCTCTAAAAAATATATACAAAAATTAGCTGGGTATGGTGGTATGTGCCTGTAGTCTTGGGAGGCTGAGATGGGAGGATCACTTGAGTCTGGAAATCAGAGGCTGCAGTGAGCCGAGACTGCACTACTGCATTCCAGCCTGGGTGATAGAGTGAGACTCTGTCTCAAAAAATAAATTCATATCTATCTCTGTATACAATTGTTTTTAAAAAATGAGTTCAACAATGCCTGTTACAACCCTTAGGAAAAGCCTATTATATATATTATATATATATAAAAATATATAAATTATATAAATATATATAAAACATAAAATGTATGTCATAGAATATATAATATATAAAAAATATATAAATATATATATTTTTTTTTTCTGAGATGCGATTTCGCACTTAAACCCAGGGAGTGATGCAATCTCGGGTCAGTGCAACCTCTGACCCCCAGGTTCAAGTGATTCTCCTGCCTCAGCCTCCTCAGTAGCTGGGATTACAGGCGCCCACCACCATGCCGAGCTAATTTTTGTATTTTTAGTAGAGATGGGTTTTGCCATGTTGGCCAGGCTGGTCACGAACTCCTGACTTCAGGCAATCCACGAGCCTTGGCCTCCCAAAGTGCTAGGATTACAGGTGTGAGCCACCGTGCCTAGCCAATTCACTAATATTTTAAAAATTCATTTTTATTTTTTTCTCTCTTTTTTTGGGGGAGGTGCCGTGTTGAAGAAATCCCCCCAAAGGGTAGGCCTCTCTTAGCCTCCCCATCTGTTCTTAGATTATTTAACTCCCAGTTAATGTTGCAGTGGAATTATATGCAAGAAGTTTGGAAAAGAAATTTTACAAAGCCAGTAAAAACCAGGCTTTGTAAAATTTCATAAAATAATGGTCTTTAAAAAGGACCTTAGGTGTTATCTAATTAAATGGCCTCATCTAATAACGGAGGAAACCTAACCTCAGAAGGTGAATCCACTTGCCCAAGGCTACTCTATTAATTAACAGGAGAGAGAAGACTATCCCAAATCTTCTCATTTCAATTCTGCTGCTACTACTGTGTTATGTGAGAGTGGAGTTTACGGATATGTAACTACCTTATGTGGATTTGAAATCCCAGCCAGGGAGCACTGATTGCTATGTTAGCTTCCTGAAAAACTTCTAAATAATTAAAAGCTTTTTTTCCCCTGTAGTCTGAAATTTCTACTAAGGTAAAGAAGCAGGATTTCATGGCAGCCTTACTGTAAGAGATTCCCACAAAGTTTCAGAATGAGTTTAAAAAAAAAATTCGGCAACTAACCAAATGGGAACAAATTTTTGCAATTTACCCATCTGACAAAGGGCTGATATCCAGAATCTACAAAGAACTAAAACAGATTTACAAGAAAAAAGCAAACAAGCCCATTCAAAAGTGGGTGAAGGATATGAACAGACACTTGACAAAAGAAGACATACATGAGGCCAACAAACATATGAAAAAACGCTCATCATCACTGGTCATTAGAGAAACGCAAATCAAAACTACATTGAGATAGCATCTCACACCAGTTAGAATGGCGATCATTAAAAAATCTGGAGACAGCAGATGCTGCAGAGGATGTGGAGAAATAGGAACACTTTACACTGTTGGTGGGAGTATAAATTAGTTCAACCATTGTGGAAGACAGTGTGGCGATTCCTCAAGGACCTAGAAATAGAAATTCCATTTGACCCAGCAATCCCATTACTGGGTATATATCCAAAGGGTTATAAATTGTCCTACTATAAGGACATATGCACATGAATGTTCATTGCAGCACTGTTTACAATAGCAAAGACCTGGAACCAACCCAAATTCCCATCAATGATAGACTGGACTGGGAAAATGTGGCACATATACACCATGGAATGCTATGCAGCCATCAAAAACAATGAGTTTGTGTCCTTTGTAGGGACATAGATGAACCTGGAAACCATCATTCTCAGCAAACTGACACAAGAACAGAAAATCAAACACCGAATGTTCTCACTCATAGGTGGGTGTTGAACAATGAGAACACATGGACACAGGGAGGGGAACAACACACACTGGGGTCTGTTGGGGGGAAACAGGGGAGGGACAGCAGGGGGTGGGGAGTTGGGGAGAGAGAGCATGGGGAGAAATGCCAGATATAGGTGATGGGTAGGAAGGCAGCAAATCACACTGCCACGTATGTACCTATGCAAGAATCTTGCATGTTCTTCACATGTACCCCAAAACCTAAAATGCAATTTAAAAAATCCAAAAATAAATTGGTGCTATGCTTAGTTTTTGGTTTTGTATAGCTTTTTAGATGACCAAAGTACACTGTAGTTGACATTTATTGGGAAAACTCAAGCCATATAGGCAGGAATAGGACGAAAAGTGAAACTATCCTAACCCCATTACCTAAATTGCACTTCCCAGAGACAAGCTTTAGAGTTTGGTGAATATAAACCACCTTTGCCTTGTGTAGTGCCAGTGATTCCAACACAAAATGCCTGGCCAGGTTTAGGGGCAAGGATGGGGCAGGAAATAGCCCTTTTACAGCTTCCTGGGTTTTAACTGTAACAAAAGAATGTTAGGAACATGAAAATCACTCAGAAACAAAATCCTTAGAGTGGGTCACTCCCTGTCTCCCCGCCTCATAGGTTATTGAACTCTCAGTTGCTGGCTTGGGTGGATGTCCCTTAAGACATGATTTTCAAGTCATTCTGGAGGCATCAGAGGTTCTATTAGAGTTTAAAATTTCGTTAAAACAAAAGTGGCCAGGCATGACACCTCATACCTGTAATCTCAGCACTTCAGGAGGCCAAGGCAGGTGGATTGCTTGAGCCCACGAGTTCGATACCTGCCTGGGCAACATAGAGAGACACTGTCTCTACAAAAAATAGGAAAAATTAGCCAGGCACGGTGGCTTGTGCCTGTGGTCCCAGCTACTCAAGAGGCGGAGGTAGGAGGATCACTTAAGGCCAGGAGGCGGAGGTTGCAGTGAGCTGAGATTGCACCACTGGGCTCCAGCCTGGGTGACAGAGTGAGACCTTGTTTCAAAAACAAACAAACAAACAAAAATAAATAAAAGACAGAGAAAAAAAGAAAGAAAAGGTAGTAAGTACATCCAGCCAAATGTATTAAATGCCATGTTCTAGAGTATTCATGTTAACTCCCTCTTGGTTTAGGCTCACCTCAGAAAGAAGTTTCTGTCATTCCTCTGCATACGTGCAGGATTTGATGAGGAAAATTGTCAGTGGTGGTCTTTTAAAAATATATAGACCTTTTTATGTCCATCTAAGCAACCTGGGAAAGCAGGTACAATATGACTTATGAGTGGGAAGCAGAATATTTTCAAATTTGGATCCTGAACCTCAGAGTGTACAGTGGGAGTCTGGATTCTGCAAATGAGCAGTCTTAGGTTTGAATAGCTTTTTATTCCCCCTAGGCTGGAGTGCAGTGACACAATCACAGCTCGCCGCAGCCTTGATCTCCCAGGCTCATGTTATCCTCCCACCTCAGCCTCCCGAGTAGCTGGGACTACAAGTGTGCTACCATGCCCGGCTAATTTTTGTAACAGGGTTTTGCCAGGTTGCCCAGAGTGATCCTGAGCTCAAGCAATCTGCTACGTCTTGGCCTCCCGAAGTACTGGGATTACAGGTGTAAGCCTCCTTTCCGGCATGAATAGTTTCCTATGTGTCCTTGGGCAAGGCATTTAACCCCTCTGAGCCTTGATTTTCTCATGTGTAAAATGGGGAGAACATTATAAAAATAAAAGCCATACATGTTCTTAAGAGTCATTGGTTATTTCTGGAACTTCTCCCTGGCTGTCTTTCTAAGATGATTTACTATCTCATAATTTCTACCATCCAGCATCTTTCTAACTACCCTTCTCAAGACCCCAGTCTTCTACTCCATCTAATCAAATTTTTCTCTTCCTTTAGGCATTCCCTAACCTCCAGGAGTCGTATTCATTTCTTTGGAAGAGCAGCTTAGCTCTGTGCCTCAAGCACAATGCCTCACAGAACGGTTCCCTCATAGCTAAAATCTCTTTAGGAAGCAGCATTAAACAGAGCCTCTGCCCAGCACTGCCTTCAGCACGAGGCCCAGCAGAAGCTCTTAACCCAGTTTCCTTGAGTATGATTCACTTTCTTGGGCAAGGTGCTCTCCTCCACCAGCATCTGTGAGCAGGGGAGATTACCATCTTCAAATATAAACCCTGCCACCTTCCTCAGGAGGCACAGCTGCCTATTCGCTTGCTTCTAGAAGGGGTGAAGTTACCAATGTGAACTAATAGATTTGTCCTGATACAATGTTCCTTTTAACTCTTTTATATATGGGGGTCCCATGTTGGAGTTTACTAGAAATATAGGGCTCGGTCACTAAAAAAACAGTTGACAACCACTGACTTGGCCTTTTCTGTTTGCTCCCTGCTACTTAGAGGGAGACCGTTGGTTCCATTTTCCTTTTTTTTTTTTTGAGACAGAGTTTTGCTGTTGTCACCCAGGCTGGAGTGCTATGATCTTGGCTCGCTGCAACCTCTGCCTCCCGGGTTCAAGCAATTCTTCTGTCCCAGCCTCCCGAGTAGCTGGGATTACAGGTTTGTACCACCACTCCCAGCTAATTTTTATATTTTTAGTAGAGACGGGGTTTCACCTTGTTGGCCAGGGTGGTCTGGAACTCCTGACCTCAGGTGATCCACCCACCTCAGCTTCCCAAAGTGCTGGGATTGCAGGCATGAGCCACCATGCCTGGCCTTATTTTACTTTGAACTGCTAAGATGCCTTCTTTCTTTCTTACTTTTTTCAATTAACTTTTCATTCTCTCATACTTTAAAACTAGCAGAATGTTTACATCCTGACATCTGAGGATATAAGACCCTCTCATCTTAATTTCTCTCAACCATAGCAGATTTTTACATTCACTTCCTAATTCAAATGCTTTCATGGGTTACAGCTGCTGATTTTATAATTATCGATGAATTGTTTTGAATGCAAAGAGACATTTTCTTAAAGTCATAGCATTTAGAACAGTCAACTGACCAGAATTTTAACGACGTGATATTATAGGTACACATTTGTTTATATAACTAAAACAACAAACTTAGATTTTAGATATTTTCCCTCAAAATGAACCCACCTTTCAATTGCTTTGGAATAATATGTTAATATTTTCAAGATAAATATACAAACTTGTGTATACAGAAATCCCCAACTAAAGTTGGAACTATTTCCTTTATTATTTTGAGATGGAGTCTTACTCTGCTGCCCAGGCTGGAGTGCAGTGGCATGATCTCTGCTCACTGAAACCACCACCTCCTGGGTTCAAGCACTCAGCCTCCTTAGTAGCTCGGACTACAGTCGTGCGCCACCACTCCCAGCAAATTTTTGTATTTTTAGGGGGGCTTCACCATATTGGCCAGGCTGGTCTTGAACTCCTGACTTCAAGTGATCCTCGCCCTCCCCCCCGCCCCAAGCCTCCCAAAGTGCTGGAATTATAGGCATGAGCCACTACACATGGCTGGAACTATTTCCTTTAGGCCAATCTGAAAAACTGAGCTTAGCATGATAATGGTTGAGCTCTCAAAAAAAAAAAAATTAATAAAAGCATTTAACAACCTACATGATCTTCGGTAAACAGTAGCAATAAGAGTATTAATTCTCAAACTGTATATCTTGAAGATTTATAAAAAATGCAAACTTGCTTTTGAGAAATTATAGAAAAAAAGAAACTCTTTAAAACACAAATTTTAAAAAACAACACTAGACTGTAAGCACCACAGGGCAGGGGTTTCTGTCACTTCTGTGCTCTGCAAGATCTCCCATGCCTAGAACAGGGCCTGGCTCATGGCGGATGCCCAGTAAATACATGGGGAATGAATATATATATATTTTTTTGAGACAGAGTTTCGCTGTTGTTACTCAGACTGTAGTGCAATGGCACGATCTCGGCTCATGGCAACCTCCGCCTTCTGGGTTCAAGCAATTCTCCTGCCTCAGTCTCCCGAGTAGCTGGGACTACAGGTGCGCACCACCGTGCCCAGCTAATTTTTGTATTTTTAGTAGAGACGGGGTTTCACCTTGTTGACCAGGATGGTCTTGATCTCTTGACCTCGTGATCCACCCACCTCGGCCTCCCAAAGTGCTGGGATTATAGGCGTGAGCCACCGCGCCCAGCAGATGAATGAATATTTTAACAGCAAAGTTTCATTAACAATTTAAGAAATTACAGCTGCGCTTGAAAGGCAGTGGATCAAATGGATACTAAAAAGCCATATAATTCTGCATCTTAAATTGCCCCTGAAACAAACTGAGTTAAGCCCAATTTTTCTTTTCCATTTATAACTGGTTATGGTTTTAAAAAGTAGCCAAAGACCCCAGTTGAGAAAAACCAAGTAATTGGATATATTTTCATATATAAAATGTTACACTTGTCAAATGTTATTACTAGTCTATAGACCACAGATTTCTAAGCCCTGCTCACCATCCTTGTTGGCTTTTATTCTTTAACATTATTTAGGTTGCAGGTAACAGAAAGCAAACTCCAACTAAACTGAAGCAGTAAACAAGTGGAAGGACTCTGGGGTGGCTGATTAACTTGACAAACAAGTTCACGGGACCTCCCTCAAGCACTGGAAGGAAAACCTTAAAACCATCAGGACTCTGCCTCTCTCTGGATGGCTGCTTCATTCTCAAGTTTTTTCCATGAGGTTGAAATCAAGTTTGTCGGCATCACTGGGACTCCTATCCTCCTTTTCTGAGAGAAAATGTATCTTCCTAGCTCCAGTTAGAGAGATGCTAGGGAGGGACACCTAGTGACCTATTTTGGGTCAGAGTCCTGTCCTGAGGACTGGTGTCTGAGACCCATAAAGGAAGGATAGAAAAGAATTTGAACATTTTGAGGCCAGGTGCAGTGGCTCATGCCTGTAAACCCAGCACTTTGGGAGGCTGAGGAGGACGGATAACTTAAGGTCAGGAGTTTGAGACCAGCCTGACCAACATGATGGAACCCTGTCCCGGTCTCTACTAAAAAATACAAAAATTAACCACCCGTGGTGGTGGGCACTTATAATCCCAGCTACTCACTTGGGAGGCTGAGGCAGGAGAACTGATTGAATGTGGGAGGTGGAGGTTGCAATGAGCCAGTATCACATCACTGTACTCCAGCTTGGGTGGCAGAGTGAGACTCCATCTCAAAAAAAAAACTCGAACATTTTGAAAGTCTCTCCTTTAGACCATGATAGCAGGACAAAGAGGACAGAGTAGCTCCCCAGAAAGAGGGGTGGGCCATTCTCAGGAATGTCTTACTGAGGGTCACTGTTGGCTTCCAGCCTAGTATGTTTTCCATTAAAGATCAGTGTTTCCACAACTAAATGCAGCCCACAGACCGATGTTTGATATTTGGCTTTATTTTATAAAAATACACAACTTAAATACATATGACACTCTGTTTACAAGACATAAACAACTGGTAGATCTAACATTTTCAGTTATTTCAACAGAAAGAAATATGTAAATTACCTTGTAAGAGCAAAGAGCTCATTGATAGACTCTGCTTTCAGTTAATGGGGAAGAATGCCCAGGAGCAATCAATGTAGGAAGCTAACCAACACTGTCCAGCTCCCCAGCAAAACTCATCTCTCCAATAGGACCTCTATTGCACCGCCTAATATTGCACTGCTCGTTAGTCACCATCTCACTTATCCATGTCACAAGTGTAAGCTTTTGTCTTCACTAGAAAATTTTAATGGAAAAAACAATATACAGACAATATAACTGTGTCTTCCAATTGTGCTAAATACCAATTATGAGAAGTATGAACCTCTCTTCACTTTACAAAGCTTGCAATGGAAGGTGGTTAGGTATATTTTGCAGCTAAGTTCATTTTCAAAAGTTCTACAAAAACTTTGATTCAGAGTAAGCTTGATGGGGTACAGTAGCAAAGGAGGTTGGAATTTCCGTGCCTAGTGGAATTACTTGTAAGAGGGGCACTGTCACTCTCAAAGGCAACATGCACATGGCTTACAGCTCCACCCTTTCTAACTTCAGAGCCAAATCCCTCCCTCCCCCTTGTGATGCTGTCGTTCTATGATTCGGAGCTTGTAGTGGCTGCCTACTTACTCAGGCTATCTTTCAGAAATTTAGCTGCCTTATCTATGGCTCCTTTAGCTAACAGTGAATCAGGTACTAGTTTATAGGTATAAAGAAATAGTCACTTAGTTTAGAATTCAGTATATCAGAACCTACTAGGGTAAGTTTCCTGAGGTAAATGTATGCCTTAAAGAAGGATGTGCAATCTACAGAACCGTAGCAATTTCTCTTGGGTAGCAACACAATGACCCCCAAGTCTGTACTTTTAAATTAACAGGCTAATAAAACCAGGGACACATTTATATGTAGAAATAAAAATGACAAAGCCAAAGTCAAAGAAATATTGACAGCTGAGATATCAATCCAAAAGGAGGCATGAAGAGGAACAGATGAACAAAAGGAGGCTGTATCTTAAAGTGCTTAGGTAGATTAGACGATGAATTTGAAATCCCTCCAGGGATTTCTAACAAGTTTAAAAAGTGTTACTTCTTGGTGACTCAGATGTTGAAGACATGGCTTTTCTTCAATAATAGCTATTCAAGCTTTTTATTCTTTTTTGAAAAACAAGATTCTCTATAAAAACATTTTAGCCATTGTAATTATTCTGCCAGCTGTTACTCTTGCTAATGTATTTTGAAATCCTAACTGGCTGAAGGATTTTGAATAAAGTTGAACTGCAAAGCACACATCTGCACCAAGAATTTAAATTAATGCACAGAGGTCTGTGAAATTTTGCATGAAGTTAGTGCCAAAAACTTTCTATTACAAATCACACTTTGTTATTTCTTCACATTCTGCTGAAGGATTATAGAAATCAAAAATTGTAGGACCCTGAAGCTTAACTTGCTTATTTTATTCCTTTTATGTAAATGAAGTGCTCTATGGCCATTCTTAATATTAATAATGATGGTGCTGGAAACTGAGTTCCAAGCCCTAAGAATCAAGCTCAGGAATATTTCAGCAACTCACATGTAAGGATATGAATGGAAGCACTAATGAATGCTCTCTGCTATAATTGTTCATCTGCGCAATATAGTTGAATGACGTTACCAATCTGGTATTTAATAACAGTGATGAAAACTGGCACCAGCTTTCATGTAGTGCCTCACATTGAGTTATCATGTCAATCTGGGCTAACGCTACCATGCTCATCCCTCATTCATATACTTCTACATTCTATTGTGAGGGAAGACATATCTGAGTGCTTTCGGCATGATAAAGGCCTTCCTTAAGGAAAATTTAGGTCCCGAAGAACTCTGGGTTGAAGTTCTATAGCCTCAGAAGCCAGTTAAAGGCCAGAGGAAAACCTCGTTGACATATATCAAACAGTTTATTTAAAAAGTTGTTTTGATATTGCCAAGCTGAAAACTGATAGGATAAAGCAATGCTCTGGTTTCCTGATAACAAGCCCAGTGTAGCCCAAGTACAGTCACACAGTGAAAAGCTGCTGCGTGGAAAATCCACAAGACTGCAGTGGGCTTGGACTGGAAGAAGGTGGCTTTTCTTCTTAGGTGGTAAGGTAGACACTCTTTGGCAATTGATATGGGATAGCTTTTTAAAATTCACAAGATAAGAATATTTTACATACTTTCAAGCCCCAATTAGTCAGCTAATTGAAAGTATATAAAAATGTGAATTAGTGTGGTTGCAGCTCAAAATGAGTGATGTTAACAAGAGTGGTGATGTAGTGAGTCAAGTGCTGAGACTGGTTCCATAAGCAGGGAAAGGAGTGCCAGTCCTAATACGTGAACTTCATCTATCCCTGTACACCAAAGAGGAGGAGACTGTGGCCAGAAAATGTATTTTGTAAGCTATAGTTTAAAAATACCACTCTTTAGAGATTTGGAGCCCAAGCAGGAATTACAGAGATTCCTCCCCACAGAGGCCCCGAGATCTCCCCTGACTGGCAGCCAAAGGATCCATACTTGTCTCTGGTCAACCGGGCCCTGGCCAAGGCTTAGAAAAGGGAGGAGGCAGTGGCCAGAAGCCAGGGACTCAAGAGGAGAGAAATGATGGTGGATGCAGGGTTCAGAAAAAACACAAGAGGGAAAGGGGAAGAAAAAAAAGGAAGAAACAACACTGGTGAGGAAGTGTAGAAGAGGCCAGCTTTGCAGAAGAGTGACCCTGCCATTCCCACCTGCCTGAGGCAAAGGCTGGCAATAAGACAAGGGCTAAGCCTCATAAGAAGTCTCTCCTACTGCATGCATCAAGCTTGCCCCAAGCTTGGCTGGCCTTTCTCTCTGCCGATGTGTGCAGAATCTTCAAGTGTGACCTGTAAGTACCTTTCTTTTTTTTTTAACAGACAAAGTCTTATTATGTTGCCCAGGTGGGACTCAAGCTCCTGGGCTCAAGCAATCCTCCTGTCTTGGCCTCCTGAGTTGCTAGGACTATAGGTGGATACTACTGTGCCTGGCTTCTGCAAGTACTTCTTCTTGGGGTCTGATTCCTCATTCCCAGGTGCACAGTGCTCTCTACTGCTATCAGCAACCATTTGTATGGCAAAGGAAAGGCCTCAGATCCAGGGGCAGGATAAGCAGCAACCAATGTACCTAGAATTTGTGGCTGCCACCACCTTTTCTCTTAGGACTGGCTTGTCTCTCCCCCTGGTGGCTGCAGAAGGGGAAGAGAGTGAATGTCATAAAGGACTGCTCAATTCAGAACTGAATCACCTCATTTTACAAACTCCCAAGGGGCTGCCAAGAGTCATCATTACAGATCGATGGTTAAAATACCACCTAAGGAGCTCATTGTAAAAGCAGCACCTTGTCTTTAAGATCACACTAAACTTACAGGGGATCTGATGTTTTGCTTCCATTTTTGTTATTTTCTTCTCTGATGATGAACTGAGTAAAAAAGAAAAAGTGAAAGGGTCCTCTTGTCCTCTCTTCCCTCCCTCCAGAAACCTCGTGCATTTCCCCAAGTGAAATGTCTAAGGAATGCTACAATTACAGAGCTGATGAATGAGAAAAAAAATCAGATTATCTAGATATATGAAATGAAGTATAAGGGTGTAAGTGACGTTCAGTTCTCTTCACTTCATACAAGTGCAGATCATCTCTCAGTAAAATGCCTATGAAATGGCAACAGACACCTGAATTACTAATACACAAATGAATAAAAAGAGCAGTGAGATTCTGGGAAGGAAAACTTCATGTTGGTTATTTCACCTCTAGGGAAAGTCTGTTTGCGCTTGAGTCCCGCACTTGGCTTTTTTCTCTACCTTCTACTTGATGTTTTTCAGGAGGGCTGTCCGAGCATTCACAACTGCTTTGAAGGCATCTTCACTACCAGGCGCTACACATTTGTCAGGGTGAAGAAGCACAGCAAGTTTTCGATACGCTTTATTGACTTCATCCCTGTGAAAAGAAGTGAAGATCTGTGTTAGTAACAGAGTTAGCCCGACCCACTGCATGTTAGCTGCTCAGATACACATAATATCTCTTGCAGTAAACATATCCTAAATTATTAGCCTTTCTCAAAGGCAAGATTAAAAGACTAGAAAACAGACATTGAACCAATAAATAATATGCAATATATAATACAAAGTAGTACACAATGCAAAAAGTATATAAATGCTAATGAAACACTTAGTAAAAGCATGATCAGATGAAAACAGGCAGTATTTGGCACCTCGCAGGCACTCAGCATATCTTTGCTGATTGAAAAAATAAGGGCTTGGGCACCAGGGAAGGCACTAGAGTCATCTTCTGAAAGAAGGGGTCTGGGAGAGAGCTGACAATGGCCTGGAATGGAAGCAAAACAACCTCAGCACCTGGGCTTGATAATCACAACGGTAGGTGTTTCACGACAATCGTGTGCTGGGAAAACTGTTTCTTGAAGTTAGGATACAGGAGGTTGTTACATAACCCAGGCATGAGTAAAAGAGTTTAGATTAAGGTGTTTATGGAAGGAAACAAGGGAAGATAAAAGATAAAGAACGAAATGGCAGAGTGGATGATGAGCTGAGTATCCAGGAGGAGAGGATAAAAGGAAAAGGGCTGAAATGAGCTCCAGGGTCAAGGTCATGAGGAATCTGAGGCCCAAGAAGGTGATATCACTGAGAAAGCAAGGGATGCTGGAAAGGGGTAGACCAGAGTGACAATGAGCTCACTGAGATGAAAGAAGAAACATGACACAGATCAGTATTATCCAGAGATGTAAGGAGCTGTAAGAGTGCCTCTCCAATCCAGTAGTTCCCATAAACCAGCAGCGCTCCAGGAGAGAGCTGCAGGCTTCTGAGCTCCTCAAATAGCAGAAACTGGCTAGGGTGGGGCCTGGATAGTCCTGTCCCATCCCCACTGGTCATCACTTTCAGGCGTCAGGCCTCCCAGAGGGATCTAAGTACCCAACCACTCCCCTGGTCAGATTAAGCTCTGTCTCTACCAGATGGTTTTATTTCCCACCTTCCTCTTGTAATTCAGGGTTCCAGTGATCCTATAAGCATGGATATGCTTATAGCCTTTCTCCTTATATGCTTATAGGCTTTCTCCTTTATTTTTTATTAGAAGGATTTCTAATGTGGCTCTCTAAATCAGGGAGATGACCTTTGATACCTTGGCTATGACGGCAAGTTTTATGTTTCAGTTTGGAGAGACTGAAGTCATAGGGTCATGTTAACAGTTCTCCAAATCTTAGGTATACATTTTAGGGCCTTTTCTACTTTCTGCTCTTAGAGTGGTTCTGAATTTTCTTGTTTTAGCAAGAACCCCATTCTTTCAGAAGGCTGCTCTGTGGGGGCCTTCTTGGTGCCCTGAGTGTTGTTTTTCTACATGTGTAACTTTGATAATTTTGCTAATAAGAATGACATTCTCCCTCTCTGAAGCAATTTGAATTGTCAGAATTGTTATTTGTCCTAAAGACCCTGTGTCCTTGAGGAAGGCATTGCATCCTCTTCTTCCATGAGGGAGTCCTGGGAAGGGACCTTCCAGCCACTCTGCCTCCTGAGAGAGGGTGTCCACACTGGGTCAGTAGTTACACCTGGTCCTCTGCATTAAGAGTGCCTTTCAAGATGTGCAGGTAGCAGCAGAAACTCTCAAGATGTAACAATTACATCAATTCTGCTGAAGATGAAGATTTTATTAAAGTTCAAGAACAGTAAACACAGTTAACACTCAAGAAATATCAAAACTCTCTACAACTTAAGAAAAAAATATTTTAAGGTTTTTTCCCAAATGTACTCGGTGCCATACAAAATTAGTTTGCTAGGCCCAGTGGAACAAAGGTAAGAGAAGCACATGTTTCTATTGGTTAAGGATATGGACCCTATGGGGGTCTGTAAGTTCTAGTAAATTCCAATTAAGCAAAGTGAATACATAAGGAACCCTAAGTTTCTTCTCCCTTAATGAATATTGTTCTAAGTCTACTAGTAAGTAGACAAAGTAACCATTTCTTAAGTTTAGAGGCAGTATCCCTTGGAGATGACACAGAAGAATTCAGAAAGAGACTATGAAGGTCTAAAAAGAAATTTAAAAGATGCAGATATACGGATTCAGTGCCATCTGATTGAAACCCTACTGGCTTTTTTTTTTTTTTTTTTCATAGAGAAGCTGATCTGAAAATATATATGGAATTACAACAGATCCATAATAGTCAAATGATCTTGGGGGAAAAAAAATCAAAATAGGAAGACTCACATTTTCCAATTTCAAAACTTACTAAAAATCTACAATAAACAAGAGCATAGCACTGAGCAACAACAAAAAATAAGATCTCAATAAACTCTGTGCTCTACACGTGAGGTCACCTGAACTCCCTGACAGGTTTAAAGCATCCTCAATATCACCTGGTGAGTGAGTGTGACCAGTAGCAGTCTTCCCCTTCCCTTCCCCTCTTTCCTTCTAGACTTGAAGATATGCTGTGAGGCCAGAATGGAGAAGAGATATTTAGTCCTTTGGGTGCTGCATGGCAATTTCAAGACATGATTTTTTTCTTTTGTGGGAACCAAGGTGAAAAAGTAGGAAGGGTGAAGTAAATGCGGGGAGCCAAGGTACAAAATAAGACACATAAATTACAACATATGTAGTAATGGTAGAATTAGACCACCGAAAGTTACATAACCATACTGAATAATAATTTAAGTTTTGTACAAGAAACAAAGAATAGTGACTGTATTATTTTCTTGAATAACTCTTTTGACTAAAACAAAATAATTAACATAAATACACACACAGGGGGCTGGGTGTGGTAGCTCATGCCTGTAATCCCAGTACTTTGGGAGGCTGAAGTGGGTGGATCACCTGAAGCCAGAAGTTAGAGACCAACCTGGCCAACATGGAGAAACACCATCTCTACTAAAAATACAAAAATTAGCCAGGCATGGTGGCTCGTGCCTAGAATCCCAGCTACTCAGGAGGCTGAGGCAGGAGAATCGCTTGAACCCAGGAGACAGAGGTTGCAGTGAGCTGAAATTGTGTCACTCACTCCAGTCTGGGTGAGAGAATGAGACTCTGTTTCAAAAAAAATTAAATAAATACATAAATAAATTTAAATTTAAAAATACACACATAGATGAGGAACTTACAGGGCTTCAGAGACAACGACAGAGACAGATGAACATACAGTGTTCCAGGGTAAAGAACCAATGATACCACTAACTCCTGGGATTCTTGAACATGTTTAATCTCACTGAATCCCAGTTTCCCACCAGTAAAATGAAATGCTTTGTACAAGTTGATTGCCAACATGCTTTCCTCCTCTAACATTCTATGATTTAAGGATTCTCTTTTGTTAAGTTTTTAAGGTGTGCTAACTTCAAGGCTCTTCTTGTTCAACACAAAAGCAGAGCATACCATTTCATAAAGCATTTACAACAGTTTTCTTAGCAGGCGACTGTGTCCTCTATTTTGTCTCTGGTATTCAGCTAATTTAGTGAAACAGAGTCATTCTAATATATTTTTATACATCTTTGCATTTCCAGCCAATTGGAAGAAGATACACTGCACCTATAATTTTGGTGGTGGAGTCTTTTTGTATGATAGAATACTGTATGATGGGATACTCAGTGTTGAGTATCCCAGAGCACTTACCTTGAGGCCCCAGGTTTGACTCCCAGCATGTCCCAACTGTCTTTACTATTTCGAATTCTGCGAATGGCATCTGCTTGTTCTTTGGTGAAACTAGCACTGCTATTTGTAGTAGGGCGTTTCCCGCCATTTTCACATAAATCAACTATGGATACATAAAAGGTCTGCAAAAAGAAAACACATCCCAGTGTAGAAATGATTTGGTGAAAATAAGAATTCCTTTTAAGTATCAACTTAAGAGACTTTTAATACATTCCAGCAACTCTTAGAAGTCATGTATAAAGCAAATACATACTTTGGAAGATTTTTTTCTTTTATACTATTTAAATATAAATATAAATATATATATATTCACATTTTAATACACAAAAAGTATAAGGAATGAAATTAAAGTGGCTAATAATCCTACTTTCAGATAATGACACTTGAAGTTAAAAAGTAATAGATGAGCTTGGCATGGTGGCTCACGCCTCTAATCCCAGCATTTTGGGAAGGCAAGATAGGCAGACTACTTGAGCTCAGGCATTCCAGACCAGCCTGGGCAACATGGCAAAACCCCATTTCCACAAACACACAAAACACAAAAACTATCTGAGTGTGGTGGTGCACACTTATAGTCCCAGCTACTTGGGAGGCTGAGGTGAGAGGATGGGTTGAGCCCAGGAAGTGGAGGTTGCAGAGAGCCCAGATGATGCCACTGTACTCCAGCCTGGATGACAGAGCCAGACCCTGTCTCAAAAACAAATCAACCAACCAAAACCACAAAAGTAATAGATGAACACTGTTAGAAAAATACAAATAGTAAAGAAAAGTGTAAAATGAAAACTGTGTCTCTCTGTGCCTCAAGTTCCTCTCCTGGAGGTAACCATTGTTAATTTTTTTTTAACATCCTTCCAGAAAAATTTACCATCACTATGCCAGTATACACACAGATCCACACTCTTTCAACATATACCTAAAGGAGATCAGCTTATACACATCTTAGCACCTTGCATTTTTTTCCACATAATAATACATCCTGGAATCTTTCTATAGCTATAAATAGAGACTTTCTTTGTTCTTTTAAATGGCCGTTCAGTATTTTATTGTGTGGTTGTACCATAATTTATGTAACCAACTTTTATTCTTGGACAAGTCAGTTGTTTCTAGTTGTTGTTTTTTTTTCCACTACCAACAGTGCTTTAGTAAATTTTTCTTTTGTGTATACATCTCCGTACACTTGTGGAGATACTGCTTTAGGATAAATTCCTAAATGCAGAACTGTTGAGCAAGAGTGTATGCACATTTTAATTTTTGAATCTGACAACTGTTGTCCAAAAAAAGCTGTACCAGTTTACATTCCCATCACTGTGTGTGTGTGAAAGAGTGCCTGTTTCTCCACATCCTCATTAACACTGGCAATTATCAAACAATTTAATTTTTGCCAATCTGATACACATCTAATATAGTTTGATTTGCATGTCTTTAATTATAAGTGAAAGTGGATATTTTTACAAATGCTTATGGTCTTTTCTTTTTCTGCAAACTTCATATTCTTTGCCCAGTTTTTTTTTTTTTTTGAGACAGAGTTTTACTCTTGTTGCCTAGGCTGGAGTGCAATGGCGTGATCTTGGCTCACTGCAACCTCTGCCTCCTGGGTTCCAGTGATTCTCCTGCCTCAGCCTCATGAGTAGCTGGGATTACAGGCATGCATCACTACACCTCGCTAATTTTGTATTTTTTTTTTTCAGGGTTTCTCCATGTTGGTCAGGCTGGTCTCAAACTCCCAATCTCAGGTGATCTGCCCGCCTCCGCCTCCCAAAGTGGTGGGATTACAGGCATGAGCCACCACACCCAGTCTCTTTGCCCACTTTTACAATTTTTTTTTTTTCTTTTCTTTTTTGAGACAGAGTCTCACTCTGTCGCCTAGGCTGGAGTCTGGAGTGCAGTGGTGCGATCTCTGCTCACTGCAACCTCTGCCTCCCAAGTTGAAGCGATTCTCCTGCCTCAGCCTCCTGAGTAGCTGGGACAACAGACATGTTCCACCACACCTGGCTAATTATTTGTATTTTTAGTAGAGACAGGGTTTCACTGTGTTAGCCAGGATAGTCTTGATTTCCTGACCTCGTGATCTGCCTGCCTCAATCTACCAAAGTGCTTACAGGCATGAGCCACTGTGCTTGGCCTGTTTTTTCTTTTTTTGTGAGACAGGGTCTACACTGGCCAGGCTGGTCTCAAACTCCTGGGCTCAAGTGATCCTCCTGCCTCAGCCTCCTGAGCAGCTGGGATTATAGGTATGCGCCAATGTACCTGGCTATACTTTTCTAGTTTTTTAAGTGAAGGCTTTTTTGAACCTGCTCATGTTTCATGTTCTGTGTACTGTAATTATTATTGAATAATACTCATTTACCACACCATAGCTAATTTTAAATAGACATATTTCTTCTCTTAATTTCTTTAAAAATCTTTTTCTCTTCTTTTTCAGATTCTTCTAAAGTTCCTGTTACCTTCTAATATTTTTATCTTTCTTTTCGACTCTTCTTTCTTATCTCTAATAATACTTAATCAACTTGGTAACCTAACAAGAAGCCTTGATGTTTGAAAAGGGGTGTCAAAGGAATACCACTAGAGACCAAGACACAAGAAGTATTAGCTTAGCTTTACTCTATTTTAATATTGCTCTCTCTAGTAACAGTATCAAAAACTAAGTTCCTTCCTGACATAAAATGTCTATTAAATAGATAGAAAACAAAGAAAATATTTATTAAATTGAACCAGCAGGAAAGCACTACTTTTAAGTACTTACTTATAGATAGTGTAATTATTCTCTTCTTGTTAGACTTTTTTTTAACAGACTAATTTATCCATTAGTTCTATTCAAGATGTATCTAAAAGGATAAAAGCCACATAAAAGGGATCACAGTTCATGGATGTTTGCTAGTGGTATGTATCATTAAGGTTATTGTCTAGCCTATGAATTAACCCGAAGTATGAATACTCACAGATTTCTGAGGGCACAGGATTCCATTCACTATACACATGGTTGTAGAAGACAAGTCATGGTGTAAGTTACAGAATACTAGGATTGAGATCAAATCCTGTTTAAATTTCATGTCTGAGTTCCAGCCATGACAGAGTAATGAATACTGGATTAGACCTGCTGCCATCAACTATGATTGAACTGGGAAGAAAACTGCTGGCAGTGGACAACAGCAAGTGCAAGACCGTTCCCTGAGAGGTAAGCCCCACAATCACCTGGCTGTCTACTTGGAGTCCATTTTCCTGACCACATCACAGAGAGCTAGAGTCTGAGCAGACACAAATCTCACTGAGCCTTAGAGGTAGTCTAAGGCTCAGTGAGATTTGTGTCTGCTCAGACTCTAGCTCTAAGTCTCTCCTCTCCTTAGAGGCAGAGATTGGAGTTTGAGGCTGCTGAGGTGGCTAGAATCTGCACAGCAGACCACAGGAGAGGAGAGAGCTGGGCAGAGCTGGGCACCAAGTCCATATGGGGGTCTCTCATAAGTCTGTAGTCAAAGGCTAGGCTATATATGTATAGAGTGAGATCACCCAAGGCTTACCAGATAACAGCTGGTATGGGGTTGAGAATAAAACCAGTATCCTGAGGTCTAGTGGTGCCAGAGGAAGAGCTATCTGAGAATGTTAGGGTTTAGTCTTGTCAGAGTGGAGATACTGCCTTAACCCCTCATTAATAGCCCTACCATCTACTGAGGTATCACAGAAAGGCTGTGCCTTAAAAGTTATAGACTCATCCTAACAAAACCTAAAACCAAGAGCTAACAAGATCTGGAAAAGAGGCAGAATTTGGAAGCTGAGTCCTGCCAAATTAGAATGGCTTGGGAAACACTTTGGGCTTCCTTCAAATCCTTGCTATTAAGGCAAAAAAACAAGCCAACACAAATTCATTTTAATTTGTCAATAATTGAACTGCCTCCTGAGGAATCAAAAATCAACATTTGACCTTCTTCAATCAAGAATCAACAGTCTTCGGAGGAAGATAAAAGAATCTATAGTCTCTACAATATATATTATCCACAATGCCTTGTGTTTAATCAAAAACCACTACTCATACAAAAAAAAACATGAAAATGTGATCCATAGGAAAAAAAAGTAGTAAATAGAAACTGAACCTAAGATGGTTCAAATGTTGGACTTAGCAAAGATAGTAAAACAGCTAGTATAAATATTTCAAAGATGTAAAGGAAAATACATTCAAAGAATTAAAAGAAAATACACTCTTAATGAGTGAGCAGATAATTTAATAGAGAACTGGGAACTATACTGGGAACCAAATGCAAACTCTAGAGCTATAAAGGACTGAATGGAAAACTTCCCTTGGTGAGTTTAACAGTAGCTTGTCAGTGGTGAAGTCAAATCAGGAGAGATTATGCAATCTGAAAAATGCAGAAAAAAATGGAAGAAAAATAAATATAGCCTCAGGAACTCTGGGACAAAATCAAATGGTCTAATATACAAGTAATTGGAGCCCAAGAAGGTAAAGAGAGTCAGAATGTGGCCAAAAACAAACAAACAAACAAATAAAAAACCTAAAGAAATAATAGTAAAACAAAAACCAAACAAAAAAATTCCCAAATTTGATGAAAAACACCTAACTACCAATCTTAGAAACTCAGTAAATCTCAAGTAGAATAAATAAGAAGAGAACCACATCTTGGCATATCATAGTCTAACTGCTGAAAACCAAAGAAAAGAGAAACTATTGAAAGCAGCCAGGGGCAAAAGGGGCACATTAGGTACAGAGATTAGTAAGAGTCACAATGAGTGCTAACATCTCATGAGATACAGTGGAGGCCAGAAGAGAATGGACCAGCATCTTTAAAGTGCTGAAAGAAATTTCATTTCTAACCATTATGACCTTTGGATGAATCACTTTACTACCCTTGGATGCTCTCATATATGAAATGATAACACCTGCCACACATTGTTTTCATAAGTCTGCATGAGATGAAATGTGTAAACTTCTCCAGAATGGTGAAGTACTATTCAAATGGTTAGGTATCATTATTGTACACATATAGGTAAAAACTCACATAGCTCTATGTACTCAAAAGAATAGAAAGCATGGCAAACCAGCATCAACTTGATTTGATCTTGAAATAGAAACTACTTTTGGCCAATTCAGCCTGTCAGCCAAGGAAGAAATCTGTCTTCCAGTAGGAGGAGTGACATCTTGTGAGAAGGAAATTCAGTATAAAAGATTAAGTACAATCCCACTCAATAATTAAGAACAAGTCTTTATAATGTAACTACATTATTTGAAATGCTAAAAACTCCCAAAATATCAGATATATTCATAAGAAGAAAAATACATTATTCACACTACCACTTACTTCCAAAAGTATCTATAATTAAGGGCTGCCTTTGTAAGTTATTGTTTTAAATAGCCTATTTCCCTTAAAATTACTCAAGATGAGGTTTTTTAAAGTGGCATTCAGGTTGCAATGTGAGCACCTCCATTTCCTGCTTGATTGGCGAGGCCTTATTTTTATGTGTAATTAGCTGGAGTCTATACTGAGAGTCTCCTGTTCTCTAACTGCACCCCTGTGGGCTACGATATAGGATTATACTAGCTGTAGCAAGGCAATTTTTGCCACAATAATGCTTCTATTTGATTACTCATACAAATGTAATACCATTAGCCAAAGGTGGCTTTGCAGAAAATCTCTGTCCTGATTAAGCGGTGTATAATAATTGTTATTAAACTTGATGATCCTCAGAATCACCTGGAGAGTTTTTCTAAAATATAGATTCCTGAGCTCCATAGCAACATAAGTTTCCAGTAGATCTGGAGCCCAGAAGTATGTATTTTGAAGAATCTCCTCAGGTAATTCTCATGATCAGCTAAGTCTCATCTAAAATAGAGAGCAGATAGCTTCTTTGAAAAGAAAGAGCTTATTCTAATGAGAAATTCCTGTTACTTTTTTGCTTCCTATAATCTAAATTAAAAATTGGCACAATTGGCCTTGACACAAACCTTAAAACAACAAAATGCTAGGTTACCTGGAACATCTCATTAATGCCTTCTCCAGTTTGTGCTGAAGTTTCAAAGTACAGGAACCCTTTGCTTTCAGCCCAAAGACGTCCTTCACTTTCATCTATACAACGGTGTTTGGTACAGTCAATCTGAAATGTGGGGGTGGGCAGAGAGAAGATGACAACCTTGTCCTACTAGAATGGACCCAGTGCAGTCTTTGTCAATCCTTTACTAAGGCAAAGCTATTCTTAGTAAATGCCTGTACTAGTGTGTAAAATTACCAGGACCTAAAGGGACAGAAACAAATCCTAATATTGAATGTAGACTGATATTCTATAGCAGTAGGACTAGTGCCTGTTGCTGCAGTGCCCCACCTGACCCCTTGTGAAAACAGCTGTTACTCAGTTCTGTGAAAGTTGGCTTCATGATATCTGCCATACCTTTGGGGCCATAGTCTGCTTTTCATACCTTTCTCCAGTCCACATCACCTAATTAATGCCCCTCCTCCAATTGGATCAAAGTGTGATTACCCATGGCTCCTCCTCAGTCACCAACATCCTTCCCCAAGTATGGCACCAGAAAAAAAAAAGTATACAAATCTTGACATAGCAGGTTTTAGGTTGCTGTGCTGTTTTGTTTTTGTCTTAGGGACATTATGTTTTGAAAGGTTATTGATTCCTATATTACACAATAAGGAATTTTTCTTTTTATTTGATCCCCAACACTCAAAGCTCCACTCTTCCCCTAGTAACCTGAACATACCATTTCCAAAGGGGTTACCTTGTTGGCACAAACTACAAATATAATATTTTCCATGTTTCCATGAGGTCCAAGCTCTTGCTTCATTTCTGCCAGCCATGCATCAAGGGCATCAAAGGAGTCTTTCTGCCCAACATCATAGACCAGTATCACACCCTGTGTGTCCTTGTAAAACTCATTTCGAACCTTCAAATAAAAGGACAGATGCACAAAATGTAGTTTTTGTGATGTTATAAGAGTATCTCTCATAGTCATTAACCTGGCAAAATGTGTTCTTTTATAGTGTCTGCTATTGTATCTCAGTTTCTACTGGTCTCTAGAAGTTTTTTTATAGAATCAAAGTAATGCCATTCTAAAAAGTTATTAGTATGGAAGGACTTATAATGTAAAACAACGGCCTCCTGCCCCACTCCGCCCCACCTCCAGTTCCACTCCCCAGAGGCACTCGGTCTTTAACTATCAGTAGACCTTAAAAGAATACCAATTATATAAAGTTCTTCTTAGGAAGAATTAAGAAGATGAGTGAGCGATGCAAAAGAACTTAAGGCAAAAATGACACGAAGTATTAGCAATGGCTAGAGCCATTTATAAATCACATCCCAAAGCCGGCTTCCCCCAGGGTGCGAGGCAGAGCTTCCCTGACTCTCGGGTCTGCACACCAGCTTTAGAACTCCAAACTCAGAGCCTCAGTGTAATACAAAGGAAAAGGGCACAGGCTCTGGAGTCAGACAGATCTGGGTTCACACTTACTTACTAGTTGTATGATCTTGGGGAAGTCACTTAACCTCTCTGCGTCTCAGTTTCCTCATCTGTAAAATGGGGATAATACTACTTACTTCACAGGGTTATTATGAGGGTTAAATGAGATAATGCAGGCAAAGTACTTAGCATAGTGCCTGAAAAACAATGTCTATTTAACACCTTCTCCTTCCTTCCTGGCATCCATTCTCTGATTATCCTTTGATGCTTCATTAGAAATGGCAGCTTGCCTCTGGGGCATGGCTCCAAATCTGGGAAGAGGCAGCATGAAGTATGGGGCATACTCAAGCATTAAGGCCAGAGAGAGGTTGGGTGGGTGAGGAGCAGCATTGACAGACGGGGATTCTGGGACAAAGTTCCAGAAAGAATCTTGACAAAAGCCATACATTATACATTCCTTTCACAAAATTCCCAAATGTCCTCAGACCCACACAGGCTATGTAGTAAGAAATGAAAACATGTTATACATATCAGGTAGGGTTTCTGGGCATAGGCAGATACCTGGACCAAGAATTTAGTGCTCCTATTTGTTTACAGAAACCTAAGAAACTATCCCTGAAAGTTAAACCCAACCAAATCAGAAAGAACTAAAGATGATGAAGGCCACCAGTCCTTTCCCTCAGGACTCGTGGTCCTTGGCCCTTCTACAGCAGTTAACAATGGACTGTATCTTCTTTCCTAAAACGCCCGCTGCCTTGGCTCCTGTACGTCACATTCCCTAGGCTCTTACATTCTCTTTCACCAACTCCTTTCTCTCTATTGCTCCTACTCCAGCCCACCACCAAAGTGTCCTGTGCCCCCTTCCTTTCTTTTTGAATCCTTCCTCTTAAATCAACATGAACCACTTGTACAGTTTCAACTGTGAGAATCTCCAAGATGAGCCCTCTCCTCCGAGTTTCCGGACCTGCATTTCTAATTAGCACCAGATTCTTCCAGCTGAATGTCCTGTTGGAATCTCAAATTCAATATGCACAACACGAAACCCTTCAACTTCTTTCTTCTTAAACTATTCTCCAAAGTTCCAACTCTCTCAAATGATGTTAAAAGTTTCTGATCAGTCCTCCACCAACCTTTCCAGTCTTATCCTCCCACTATCCCCTGACCTTCAAACTGGATGATCTCTCATTCCCCAAACCTGTCCCATGCCTTCCCAACTCCATCTGGAAACAGACACCTCTTTATGTTTCATCGTTCAAGCCCTGGCTATAATGCTGTATCTTTCATGCAGTTTTCTCTGCCCCATTCCTCACCATCCAGCCACCATTCCTGCCAAACAGAATTTAATCTCTATGTCCCCTGGACCATACTGTTTTGAACTTCTAATAGTGCTATCACTTCCTGCCCAGTTTTGCAGTGTGTAGCATATCCAGCTGTCTTCCCTCCTATGCTAGAAGAAACATGAAGACATGCATCTTGATGCATCTACCCTTGTGTTACCCACAGGGCCTAGCCGATACAGGGACATCTCAGTTTATTGCATGCTATGTAGATATTTATGCACTTATGTAAGGCATACAGGCACACCTCACTTTACTGCATGGTATGTAGATATTGTGTTTTTTACAAAGTGAAAATTTCTGGCAACCCTAAGTCAAGCAAATCTATCGCTGCCATTTTTCCACAGTGTGTGTTCACTTTATGTCTCTGTGTCACATTTTGGTAACACTTATAACACTTCAAACTTTTCATCATTGTTTTATCTGTTATGATGATCTGTGATCAGTGATATCTGTTTCTATTTTAAGTGTCTCGGGGTACCATGAACATATAAGCTCATTTAAGAAGGCAAACTTAATAAATGTAGTATATATTCTGACTGTTCCATTGAATGGCTATTGCCCCATCTCTCTCACACTCCTTGGGCCTTCCAATTCTCTGAGACAAAACAATATTGAAAGTAGGCCAGCTGGGCGCAGTGGCTCACGCCTATAATTCCAGCACTTTGGGAGGCTGAGGCGGGCGGATCACAAGTCAGGAGTTCGAGACCAGTCTGGCCAACGTGGTGAAACCCCATCTCTACTAAAAATACAAAAATTAGCCAGGCATGGTGTAATATCATGCCTGTAATATCAGCTACTTGGGAAGCTAAGGAAGGAGATTCGCTTGAACCTGGGAGGTAGAGGTTGCAGTGAGCTGAAATCGTGCCACTGCATTCTGGCCTGGGTGACAGAGTGAAACTGTCTCAAAAAAAAGAAAGTAGGCCAATTAATAACCCTACAATGGCCTCTAAGTGTTCAAGTAAAAAGGAAGAGTCACATCTCTCTCATTTTAAATGAAAACCTTGAAATGATTAAGCTTAGTGAGGAAGGCATTTCGAAAACTGAGATAGGCCAAAAGCCGGACCTTTTGTACCAAACAGCTAGCCAAGTTATGAATGCGAAGGAAAACTTCTTGAATGAAATTACAAGTGCTACTGTGGTAAACACATGAATGATAAGAAAGTGAAGGAGCACATTGCTGATATGGCAAAACTATCTGTGGTCTGGATAGAAGTCTAAACCAGCCACAACCTTCTCGTAAGCCAAAGCCTAATCCAGAGCAGGTCCAACTCTCTTCATTTCCATGAAGGCTGAGAGAGATGAGGAAGCTACAGAGGAAAAGTTGGAAGCTAGCAGTGCTTGGTTCATGAGGTTTAAGGAAAGAAGCCATCTTCATAACATAAAAGTGCAACATGGAGCAGCAAGTGCTGATATAGTGCTGCAAGTTAATTCAAAATATCTAGCTAAGATCATTGATGAAGGTGGCTAATCTAAGCAACAGATTTTCAATGTAGATTAAACAGCCTTAGAATAGATAGCTCTAATGGAAGATGGTATCTAGGACTTTCAAGGCTAGAGAGGAAAAGTCAATGCCTGGCTTCAAAAGCTTCAAAGTACAGTCTGACTTTCTTGTTACATGCTAGCAGAGCTGATGACCTTCGGTTGAAGACAACGCTCATTTGCCATAATGAAAATCCTAGGGCCCTTAAGAGTTATGATAAATCTACTCTTCCTGTGCTCTATAAATGGCACAGCAAGGTCTGGATGACAGCGCATCAGTTTTAGCATAGTTTACTGAATATTTTAACCCCACTGTTGAGACCTGCTACTCAGAGTATAGATTCCTTTCAAAATATTACTGCTCATTCACAATGCACCTAGTTACCCGAGTTCTGATAGAGATGTACAAGGAGATTAAAGCTGTTTTTATTATGCCTGCTAACACAACATCCATTCTGCAGTCCATGGATCAAGAAATAATTTTGACTCTCAAGTCCTACTATTTAAAAAATACATTTTGCAAGGCTACAGCTGCTATAGCGATTACTCTAGGAAAAGTAAAGTAAAAACCTTCTGGAAAGCATTCTAGATGCCATTAAGAACAATCATGATTTAGGGGGGAGGTCAAAGTATCAACCGAGTTCGGAAGTTGATTCCAATCCTTGCAGATAACTCTGGGGGAGTTTAAGACATCAGTGGAGGAAGTAACTGCAGATGTGGCGGAAATCAGAAGAGAACTACAATAAGAAGTGGGGCCTGAAGATGTGACTGAATTGCTGCAATCTCACAATAAAAAATAAGTAAGGACTTGCCTCTTATCAATGAGCAAAGAAAGTAGTTTCTTGAGATGGAATCTACTCCTAGTGAAGATGCTATGAACATTGTTCAAATGAGAACCAAGAATTTAGAATATTACATAAACTTAGTTGATAAAGAGCAGCAGAATTTAACTGGATTGACTCTAATTTTGAATTAAGTTCTAATGTGGGTGAAAATGCTGTCAAATAGCATTGCATACTACAGAGAAATCTTTCATGAAAGGAAGAGTCAATCAGTGTTGCAAACTTTATTGTTGTATTATTTTAAGAAACTGCCACATCAACCACCACCCTGATCAGTCAGCAGCCATCATCACTGAGGCAGCCTCTGATCATAATAGAATCAAACTAGAAATCAGTAACAGAAGGATAACAGGAAAATCTCTTAACACTTGGACACTAAACAGTATGATTTTTTCTTTTTTGTGTTTTTTTAAATTGTTTTTGAATAGCACACTTTGTTTTTCAGATGGAGTTTTACTCTGTCACCCAGGCTGGAGTGAAGTGGCATGATTTTGGCTCCCTGCAACCTCTGCCTTCTGGGTTCAAGCGATTCTCCTGCCTCAGCCTCCGGAGTAGCTGGGATTATAGGCATGCACCACCATGCCTGGCTAATTTTTGTATTTGTAGTAGAGATAGGGTTTCACCATGTTGGCCAGGCTGGTCTCAAACTCCTGACCTCAGGTAATCCACCCTCCTCAGCCTCCCAAAGTGCTGGGATTACAGGCGTGAGCCACCGCCTGGCCTGAATAACACACTTCTAAGTAACTCATGAGTCAAACAGAAAGTCTCAAGGGAAATTAAAGAAATACATTGAAGCCGGGCATGGTGGCTCACGCCTGTAATCTCAGTACTTTGGGATGCCGAGGTGGGTGGATCACGAGGTCAAGAGATCGAGACCATCCTGGTCAACATGGTGAAACCCCATGTCTACTAAAAATACAAAAATTAGTGGGCATGGTGGCACAAGCCTATAGTCCCAGCTACTCGGGAGGCTGAGGCAGGAGAATTGCTTGAACCCAGGAGGCGGAGGTTACGGTGAGCCGAGATTGTGCCATTGCACTCCAGCCTGGGTAACAAGAGCAAAACTCTGTCTAAAAAAAAAAAAAGAAAAGAAAAGAAATACATTGAACTAAGTGAAAATGAAAATACATCTCAGAATTTGTGAGACACAATTAAAGCTGTGCTGAGAGAAAAATATGTAGCATTAAATGAATTTATTAGAAAAGAAAAAAAGTCTCAAATCAATCATCTAAGCTCCCACCTTGAGAATCTAAAACAAAATGAGCAAAATTAGCCTAAAGCAAGCAGAGAAAAGGAAATGATAAAGATAAGAGCAGAAGTGAAATGGCCAAACCAGAAAAGAACAAAAAACCTCCTTGGGAAAAATGAAAAAGCCCAAGGAAGGAAAAACAGAAGAAAATGGTCATGAGATTCATTTGGGGATTACTTAGGGGTGATAAGCAGATGAAAGTAAACCAAGTGGTTGCTGTAGCTTCTTCTCTGGAAAGAGTGCACATGACTAGGCATGAATAGGAATGATCACTCCAGTATCCTGATGTGAAAGAAGTCACATCATTGAGTTCTTAAGTCCAAGCATAAATGTAATTATTTTTTCACATTTTAGGCTAATGTATGAGGTAAAAAGCAAAAGTCCTCTTAAAGTCAAAATGTTTGAAATATTAGCAATGAAAGTTCCTACTGCTATTTAATGGGATAAACTAAAAGATTAACAGGTGTCTATTATCTTAAGGCTCTGAAGGCAAGCCATGATCAAGCTAAATTTATCCAATTTTACACATGATTTCAATAGTGGTTGTTTCAGATAATTCTGGATCTTTCCCACACCACCATCAATACTGGATATAGGTTTTGTTACAAAGGCTTTCTTACCTCATAGAAGAAGGGATGTCCAGCCATATCAAAGATGTTAACTTTGATTTCTCTGTCTCTGACGTGTACCCTGAAATGTTCAAATGAAAACAATCCCAAAGAAGGTCATGGTTTCTCCATTTACCTTAATATCATTTATAAATTTTAAAGGGTATGTGTATGCAATTTAAGAAGCTTTCTTAGTGCCTCTTCTTGATTCCAGATCATCTTTACAACAGTAGTCAGCAACCTGACAGATGATCCTTCCTTCTTATCTCAAGAACACTGAAGCCACATGGAGTAGGCATTCTCAATTACGTCACCTTCACCTCACCTCTAGATTCTCTGGTCCACAGCTCCCAACCAACAAAGGGTAATTTTTACTATGGTATTAAGAAAATTTGATTTGGGATAAGTAGGAGCAAGATAAAGGAAAACGAAAAGTTTCATTTCACTTAGTAAGAGACATCTTAATTACCACTGGTTATATTTGGTTACCATACAGTAGAATAACAAAGACGTATATTAATGATGTCTATTTAATTTTCTTGTGATCTTTATTTGAGCAAGGGCAATAGTGAATTTGTTTTCAGAAATTTGGAAATAAAGGATAAAACCAAAGGGGAAACAATAACCATTCATATTAGAAGTAACTACTATTAACATCATAGCATTATTTGTTTCTAGTCTTTTTTTTTTCATGAAAAATCACCATTGAAAAATGATAAAGGAACATTAGAAGTCAAACACTAAAGGAAAACACAAAGATGAATGCTTAAAAGTTATTCCAGGCCAACAGGTAGGGAGAGAGAGACGTAGTGAAATGACCCGTCTAGACTCCCTCCCTGATTCCAGCCATCTCTGAGGCCCCACTGCATCCTTGTCACTAGATTTTGTGACTTGTTTGATATCCTTTTTCTTTTATTTTGCTTAAGTTGGTTTGAAATAGGTTTCTGCCAATTATATCCTCCCGACTCATTATGGGACAACTATCTCTTCCAAAAAATCTCTGGCAGAAAAAGAATAGTCTGTTGAATATACCATGGTCCCATGCATAATATGGTAATTCTCACATCTTAGATAAATAAACTAGCTACTTACATGAATTCAGAACAAAACTACCTTAAATAGGATGTCCTACTATGTCACTGATGAAATTCTATGCTTTGAAGTAGGAAAGAGGAAAAGAAAACTAGAAAGGTGAATTTTATTTTTATTTGTTTATTTTATTGAGATGGAGTCTCACTCTGTTGCCCAGGCCAGAGTGCAGTGGCATAATCTTGGCTCATGGCAACCTCCACCTCCTGGGTTCAAGTGATTCTCCCACCTCAGCTTCCCAAGTAGCTGAGATTACAAACACCTGCCACCATGCCTGGCTAATTTTTATATTTTTAGTAGAGACGAGGTTTCACCATGTTGGCCAGGCTGGTCTCAAACTCCTGGCCTCAAGTGACCTACCCACCTGGGCCTCCCAAAGTGCTAGGATTACAGGAGCCACTATTCCCGGCCAGAAATGCGAATTTCAAATGAAGAGCTTCATACATTTCACTGCCAAGAGCTACAATTTTCATTCTTTAAGGAAAATTTGCAGAAATACCCTCTGCTGCTGTTACTTGAAAAATGGTGCTATAAGAGGATTACACAGAACTCTTGAGTTTTACTTTACCATTTACTGGGGCCCTATAAAAACTCATGAAGGATATGTCTAAACTTGACTCCACTCTTCACCTAATCAACATTCTGCTAGCTATACATCACAACTTTAGTCTACCTTCTTTAGTCTACCTCTCCTAGTCTAATCTGGCAAACTTCCTCTTTAAATGTATCTATCTTACCTAACAATAAATATTTGTTGAGTACCTATTAGGTATAAGCACTATGCCAGGCACAGGGAGTTTATAATCTAGCAGGAGATATTTAACATACACAAATAATAACTATACAAGGCAATTTATGGTAAGTACTATAAATAGCATAGAGAATGTTACGATTTCTGTCATTTGCAACCAAAGAGAGTCCTGACCAATAAAGGGCATGTTTAAAAGACCTTCTGGGAACCGAGAATTTTTATATCTTGAAGAAATTGGCAGGGGTACTCCAAGCAGAGAGTGAATAATGGCACTGAGGTAAAAGTATGAGGGTAACAGTTCAGTGTGGATGGAAAGAGAAAAGGGGGAAGGCCAGAGTAAGGCTAAAATAGTGAATGCCTGAAATTTCATGTTTAGGGAGTGTGCCATCTACCCCAATTCTACTCTATGGCTATTTCCTGCTAATTTAATCCAACTCTTCCAGCTCAACCCCCTCCTGACTCATCTCCAGGTAAATCCCCAATTAGATCCAACTTTACTCGTTCCAGATCATTTTTGTTGGATTCTAATAGCTATGAAGACCACAAGCCAATAAGAAAAGTTCTCTGGTAGAAAATTTTCCACATAATATTTATAGACATTTTAGAGAGAATATTTCAAAATGCTCTAAAAACACAGCTGCTGAAAGGACCTGTTAATATAGAAACATGTTTCCTAGAAAGTTACACTTGCTAGTTAGGCTTTGTGTTGACATGCTCATTGTTGCAGCCTACACCTAACACAAGGCATGGCGAATAGGGTGTGCTCAATACCTGTATGTGGGCTGAATGAATGATGTGATCATTAGATACCTGTAAAAGCCTCCTATTCCCATCTTTCCCAATTTATCTTCAAAGTCTGTTTCAAGATTACCTGCACAAGGGCACTGATGCAAAGAGAGATCATTTTTGAAAGTTCTGAACTTCTATGTAATTTACAAACCCAAGGAAACAATATACTTACTTTGTGACTCCATAGTCAATTCCAATTGTTGCCAGGTATTTAGACACGAATCTTTTCTCACAGTATCGCTTTATAATACAGCTCTAAAAAGGTAAATATATATGCATATAATAAATATACATTGAGAACACACAGACAAGAAGTATATTTCTTCATTATGGTTCCTTCATTCATCACTATGAAAAAGCACTTTCAAAAGACAAAAATGGCTGGGCACAGTGGCTCAAGCCTGTAATCTCAGCACTTTGGGAGGCCAAGGCAGGTGGACCACCTGAGATTAGGAGTTTGAGATTAGCCTGGCCAACATGATGAAACCCCACCTTTACAAAAATACAAAAATTAGCCAGGCATGGTGGTGGGCAGCTGTAATCCCAGCTACTCGGGAGGCTTAGGCAGGTGAATCATGTGAACCCAGGAGGCAGAGGTTGTGGTGAGCTGAGATTGCTGCCATTGCATTATAGCCCAGGTGACAAGAGTAAAACTTTGTTTAAAAAAAAAAAAGACAAAACTATAAAATAACTGAAACAATTATTAAAAGATTTTAAGACAAATTATCTTTAAATTCTTCCCTTATTACTAAATATGTATATGTTTTCAGTTGAGTTCTCAATCTTGTGCTCTTTGCTTTTGAAGATCTTTTATTCTTATCCTTTCAATCACAACACCAAAATACCTGTCTAGCTTTGACCTCACTGCCAAGACCAGATCCACATCTCCAAATATCTATTAAATTAGTTCCTTTTTTTTTTTTGAGCCCAGGAGGCGAGGCTGCAGTGAGCCAAGATGGTGCCACTGCACTCCAGCCTGGATGGCAGAGGGAGACCCTGTCTCAAAAAAAGAAGAAAAAAAATTCTGTTAAATCAATTGAATTGGGTTTGTCCTACTTGCAGTAAAAAGTGCCCACTTCATAGAGTATTGTACATACTTCTGGAGTTTGCTTTTCTCTCTCAAGAATAATAAATTACGGTTCCCAAGTTAACTTTAAAATAGGTTAGTCCATGATATACAAATATTCCTTTTCATTGCTTGCTAATTACTTTGTCGTTTGATTTGTTGTTTGAGCCAAGGATTATTTACTAAGGCATTCCTTAATTTTTAACTTTAAAATGCTTTACCTGTATATATCCTATTATTTTCCAAATCCTTTAAAATGAGTAAATATGTGCTACTTTTACAACTAAGGCAAAATGGTTTGTTTTAAAAAGTTACACTTAAATCTTTTATTCATCTAGAATTTATTTTTGAGAAAGAAATGCAACAGGAATTCAACCTATTCCCAAATAGCAGATAGTTGTTCCAACGATATTTACTAAATGATATCTATTTTCCTAAAATTTTACTACATTTTTTTTTTGTAAATTGAATTTCCTTATGTATTTAGGTTTATTTCTGGATTCTACTCTGTTCCATTGATGTCTCCGTATTTCCTTCCCAATACCAATAAGAAAAGTTTGGTAGCTTGAAAACAAAAATTTTTAAATTAAATTATCATTTTATTGCTTGAGTACATAGACAAATTTATACGACCAGGGCAGAGGCTGTATGTAGATGACTCATTTCCAACTGGGAGGGAGGACTCACTTGGTCTTACAATATTGAGCCAAAGGGTCAATCCAACTCTGTCAGAATTAGACGGAATTTAGTATCCTTAACTTTTCTGTTCATCTCAAGATGCTTTCAAACAACTACTTTTGTTTTTGTTTTTGAGATGGAGTTTCACTCTTGTTGCCCAGGCTGGTGTGCAATGGCATGATCTCCGCTCACTGCAACCTCTGCCCCCTGGTTTCAAGGAATTCTGCTAACTCAGCCTCCTGAATAGCTAGGATTACAGGTGCATGCCACCACGCTCAAATAATTTTTGGTATTTTTAGTAGAGACAGGGTTTCACCATGTTGGCCAGGCTTGTCTTGAACTCCTGACCTCTGGTGATCCACCTACCTCAGCCTCCCAAAGTGCTGGGATTACAGGCCTGAGCCACCACACCAGGCCCAATAACTACTTCTTAATTAAAGGATAGAGATCTTCAGGGAGATCAGGAACAAGTCCCTTCTTGGACTTAAGAATTCTTAAGATTTTATTGCCTATCACAAAATGTACATGTGAGTCTCTCAAGATCACACTTGAAAAGGGAATCATGTTTTAACTTCCAACACCAAAGACAAACTGGAGAATGTGATGACATGAAGGCTCAGGTATCACAGCAGAGTTTCCTATTTGTAAGATGGGGTCTACTTTTATACATCACAGAAACTGCTATGGGAATGCATAAAAAGCCCCGACACTAAGGAAAACCTTTCTGGTGGAAACGGAATGTTGGAAAACCATCATCACAGTGAAATATTTTTTTTCTTTTTTATTCATCTCTAAAAAGTTTTTAGAGATGGAGCCTTGCTCTGTTGCCCAGGCTGGAGTGCAGTGGTGCAATCTGAGCTCACTGAACCTCCACCTCTACGGTTCAAGCAATTCTCCTGCCTCAGCCTCCCGAGTTGCTGGGACTACAGGCGCCCACCACGCCTGGCTAACTTTTTGTATTTTAGTAGAGATGGGGTTTCACCGTGTTGCCAAGGCTGGTCTCAAACTCCTGAGCTCAGGCAATCCGCCTGCCTCAGCTTCCCGGAGTGCGAGGAGTACAGGCGTGAGCCACTGCACTCAGCCTAAAAAATATTTTAAAATGGTAGATACAGTTAGTCTTCCCTCATTCCTTTTTTCCCCCCACAATTTTCTTGGTTGTTTTCACATTGATTTTTCATAAAGACTTTAGTAATCTTATATTATGTTCTGAAAAAGAAAACCCTTATTGATGTTTTCACTGGAATTGAATTTCATTTGTAGGTTATTTTGAGTAATTCACATCTATACAATATTGCGTGATCCCATCTAAGGAAAAAGTGTATCTTTCCATTTGCCTAAGTAATTTATGTCCCTTCGTAGAGTCTGAAACTTGTCTTCATATAGTCTACCTATTTCATGTTAAGTTTAAACCTAGGCACTTTATTTTTGTTGTTTCTGTAAATTAAAATTGTTTTTCAATATACATTCTAAATGAATATAATTTAGACACAATAAAATTAATTTGTTAGTATTAATTTTGTTTTACTGAATTTTTGTAATGTTTCTAATAGTTTTTCAGTTAATTCTCTTTGGATTTCCAGGTAAACAATCTCATTATTAGCAAATAATGATCATTTTACCTTCTCCTTTCTAATATTTCATATTTTCTTAGTCTTGCCCAATTGCGTTGGCTAATAAAACTAGACAAATGTTTAAACAGATGTGGTGACACCAGGCATTCTGAGCTGCTTCCAATGTTACACCATTAGGCACAGTTAAATTACTTTTTTTTTTTTTTGAGATGGAGTGTCATGCTGCCTCCCAGGCTGGAGTGCAATGGTGTGCTCTCGGCTCACTACAGCCTCTGCCTCCCGAGTAGCTGGGATTAAAGGCGTGCACCACCATGCCTGCATAATTTTGTATTTTTAGTAGAGATGAGGTTTCACCATGTTGGTTATGCTAGTCTCGAACTCCTGGCCTCAAGTGATCCACCTGCCTCGGCCTCCCAAAGTTCTGGGATTACTGGCCTGAGCCACTGAGCCCAGTCCATAGAGGCTTTTTTTTTCCTTAAAAACAAAAACCTACACAGCTGACGTTCAAAAACGTTGACTTTCAAGTGAATGTTATGCTAAAACATGCACACTGATACATAAGTAGTATCATAAAATAAAAAACACTAGCAAACATCTACTGAGCATCTCCTGGGTGCTGGGCACTGGCCTAAACACTGCCTCAACAGCTTTTTCCGAGTTGATTTTGACCGAATACAATGATGGAAAAGAGCACTGCAGTGGGAATGTGAAGACTCGGGTTCTAATCGTTTCTCAGTCACTGATTTAACGACCTTGGGAAGTTCTTAACCAACAGCTTCCACTTGCCCAGCGGGAGAGAATTTGGGTGAAGAGGAGGCCGTGTTGGAATTTATATGGGGAAAGGCCTCAGGTTACCTCTGGCCTTCCCTCTAGCACACGAAAGGAGTTTATAGCTGATGCATAGATAGGGTAGAGTGAAGGGCGGTGGAATTGACAGATGTGGGGACACCACTAGATCCAGCCATCCACTGCACATCCTCTGTGAAACACGTCAGCGTCATTACGCTCTCTCGTGACGGGAATGCAGAATCTGGGCTGCCGGGCACCATTTCGCGAACCCCAAATTCTCACACGCACCCCATGACGTTCCGCCGGCTCCCAGGCACAGCTGGGGGAACTAAACTTTCATCCTCCACCTCCCGGTCCCAGATGGCCCCCTAGAACGGGGGCACGGTATCTAGGCCAACGGCCCAGCATGGGGACCCAGGCCTCCTTACTCTTTTGGGGGCACATTCAAGGTTTAGAGGCCACTCCAGACACCTTCTCCGGGAGAGCGACGTCGGAGGAGGAGGGGGCAACGCAAAGGTCAAAAAGCTCAGGGAGTTTCGCTCGCGGAGTCGCAACCCTCGGCGGAGACCCGGGCCTGTTCGGGGGCGGAGAGGAGGCCGGGCCCCAGGCTGTTGAGTGGCCGCCCTTGCAGCCAATGGGCACGTCGCACCACTGCGCTGGGTCCCGCCCCTCCCGGCGCGCTGTACTCACTTTCCCCACTTCGGCGTTGCCCATGGAGATGACTTTGATGCGGAGGGACCTGCCGGGTTCCTTCCGCTTCGGCATGTTGGCCTCCATGGCCCTGGCTCTCTCGGGGCAACCCGCCTCGGTCTCTCCTTGTGCACGGCTGGCCCGTCCCTCAGGCCTCCTTGTCCAATGGCGGACCCGCTTCTCTCGTCACCGCCTCGGCTCCGCGGCTCGCCATCCCCGCCGCTGCCTGGCAGCAGGTGCTGGCGGTTGGGAGCGCTGGGAGCCGCGGGAGGGAGGTGGGAGTCTCGCGATGCTACCGCAGGGCGGCTGACGTCATCGGCAGGCCCTGGAGACGCGGCTGCAGTTACCGGGTCTCTGGGGCCGCATCCCCTGACAGGAAGGCGGCGTTGGAGGGTGGCTGGGTTTACCCTATGGGGTGAGCACGGCCTTGTCAGGGGCTCCTGGACGGGAGACGTTTGTTGCTTTCGCGGCCAAGTGGTGGAAATGTATTGACTATTCAGGGCAGGTCGGGTAGTATCTGGTCCATTTGTTGTTGTTGTTGTTGTTTTTCCTGGATTCTTCTTCGATTCCTTGGTCCGTTTCACCGGTCCAATATTATGTTCCCCTTGCTCGAGATCCCCGAGAGGCAGGCACTGGAGCCAGTAAAGTGTGGGGGGGGAGGGTCGGAACCCTGGTTCTGGAAGAGGGCCTTGGGCAAGGCGGGAAGCGATTTTGATTCTCGTTCAAATCGTTTTTCTTTTTAAATAGATTTGTCCATTTGGAGTCAAGGCAAGAGCGTTAGTTTAGTCTTAGCCCTCCTGTTACAGAGCTGTGATGGATTTGTTGACTCCTCTGTCGGAGAAAGGCTCGGCCTGCTGCAGGTGTTAACGCTCCGCCGAGGTGCGGGGCTGGAGCTGTGCGACGTCAGTTTCCTCCGCTGCCCTGCCCGCCGTTCACGTCGAACGTTACCTCGAGTTTGCTCTCGCCTTCCCTTTAGCTGACAATGTAACAGTGGAAGAATAATGAGGCCTAAGATAACCACTTTTCTGCTCTGATTCCAGGGGATGAGAAAAGCAGCTGGTTGAATAAAAGTCAGTCTGACAGGAACGGTCATTTTTTTTTTCAGCCAAATTGCTTCAGTTACCGAAGATAAATACAACTTGGCAATGATTGTTTATAGTGCCCTGAAAAAGAATGGCTGTATATTGCAGAGACAAAAGTAGCATTGCCTCTTTTCTCACCTAACTTCAAGGAAGTGCATTACAGGAAGGCAATGAACAAAGGCTCAACAGTTCATAGTTAAGGTCAGATTTTCAGACATTTTAATTTTAAAATGTGTTTTTCAAACGTTAAGTTTTTTTTTTTTTAAGACAAGTTTATTCTGGATTGTTTTTATAATCAAATATAACTTAATTCACTGAAGCTTCTAAAATTCTTTACAAATGTGAAATAGGTCCTGGTTAGAATTTGGATACTTTTTTTTTTTTTGAGACGGAGTTTCGTTCTTGTTACCCAGGCTGGAGTGCAATGGCATGATCTCGGCTCACCGCAACCTCCGCCTTCTGGGTTCAAGCAATTCTCCTGCCTCAGCCTCCCGAGTAGCCGCAACCTCCGCCTTCTGGGTTCAAGCAATTCTCCTGCCTCAGCCTCCCGAGTAGCTGGGACTACAGGTGCCCACCACCATGCCCAGCTAATTTTTGTATTTTTAGTAGAGACGGGGTTTCACCTTGTTGACCAGGGTGGTCTCGATCTCTTGACCTTGTGATCCACCCGCCTCGGCCTCCGAAAGTGCTGGGATTATAGGCGTGAGCCACCACGCCTGGCGAATTTGGATACTTTTAAAGCTTAAAAGAATCCACATGCTAGCTTCTTAGTATGATTTAATAAATTACTAAACATCCAATTTATTCTACACTTCACCTTAGACCCCATAATACGGTAGCTGTTAAACGACTGATTAAGAATGGTACTGTTGAGACTAAGCAATAAAACATATTAGAGATTTAAATTGATTACTGTTTTTTCATATTGATGCTTTTTTTTTTCTTCCCTTGAAACGGAGTTTCGTTCTTGTTGCCCAGGCTGGAGTGCAATGGTGCAATCTCGGCTCACTGCAACCTCCGCCTCCCGGGCTCAAACAATTCTCCTGCCTCAGCCACTTGAGTAGCTGGTATTACGGGTGCCCGCCACCACACCCAGCTAATTTTTGTATTTTTAGTAGAGATGAGGTTCCTCCTTATTGGCCAGGCTGGTATTGAGTTGTGGACCTCAGGTGATCCGCCTGCCTTGGCCTCCCAAAGTGCTGGGATGACAGGCATGAGCCACCACATCTGGCCCATATTGATTCTTTTGACATTTTAATATGTATAGCTACATTTTCTATTGTATGCATTAAATTAGTTTGGAATTGAAAGAGCAAGAAAATCCCCCCTGTCCTGCATCTTTGAATATAAAAAAAATAAAAATCAGCACGAGTTAGCTGCTCTTTCCATGGTATGGACCTGGGAGGTATGGTTTAAACATGGATTCTGGAGCCAGCCCATTATACTTAATGTTGGCATATGATGTAGGCATGAGGTGGTGGTAAGGATTGTAGAAGGTAATGCATATGAAGGGGTAGTGGCCTCCCAGCAGACAGTAGCTACATGCTTTCATTTGCTCATACCTTTTTTATGTATTAAGAAAAATCCTACATTTTTAAAATGTGTATTGTTAGAAAGTAAATTATGGGGGCCTGGCGTGGTGGCTCACGCCTGTAATCCCAGCACTTTGGGAGGCCAAGGTGGGCAGTTCACCTGAGGTCGGGAGTTTGAGGCCAGCCTGAACAACATGGGGAAACCCCATCTCTACTAAAAGTACAAAACTTAGCCAGGCGTGGTGGTGCGGCCTGTAGTCCCAACTATTCAAGAGGCTGAGGCAGGAGAATCGCTTGAACCCGGGAGGCAGAGGTTGCAGTGAGCTGAGATCAAGACGCTGCACTGCAGCCTGGGCGACAAGAGTGAGACTGTCTCAAAAAATAAAAAGTATGAAATATTTTAGACATACTTAAAGATATAATGTATAATGGAATGAATAGCTATGTATCCCCCAGCCAGTTTAAGAAATAAAATATCACCACTGGATATGGTAGCCCACACCTGTAATCCCAGCACCTTGGGAGGCCGAGGCTAAAGCCAGTGGATCATTTGAGCCCAGGATCGAGATCAGCCTGGGCAACATGGTAGAACCCTTTCTCTTAAAAAAAAAAAAAAAAAAAATGCCATGTAGTGGCCCAAGGCTGTAGTCCCAGTTATTCAGGAGGCTGAGGTGGGAGAATCACCTGAGCCTGGGAGGTTGAGGCCAAAGTGAGCTGTGATCATTGCCACTGCACTCCAGCCTGGGCAACAAGGTGAGGCCCTTGTCTCAAATAGAAAGAAGAAAACATCACTCATACTGTGTGTAGCTTTTCCCAATACATCTTTCCTCTCTGCAAACAGTTGCAACAATCTGAATGCTGCTTTAATTTTCAGGCATTTAAAATTGTTTTACTACATATGAATATATACCTTAAAATGTAGTATTGCATTTCATCTTTCAAGACTATTTTAAAATAATTTTACACAAAAAGTTTCAAGAATGGTAGCAAAAAAATCTTGCCTATACTTTATCCAAATTCATCAATTGTTAACATTTTGTCCCATTTACTATATCACTGTGCTGTCTATATGTACATGTATATTCACATTTTTCTGAGTAGTCAGAGGTTTATTTGCAGGCATCTTTTATAGATAGATTTAGATAGATAGCTAGATAGAGATATAAACACAGGCTCAGCTTGATGGCTCACACCTATAAACCTAGCACTTTGGGATTCCAAGGCAGATAGATCACTTGAGGTCAGGAGTTTGAGACCAGCCTTGCCAACATGGTGAAACCCATCTCTACTAAAAATATAAAAATTAGCCAGGTGTGGTAGCAGATGCCTGTAATCCCAGTGACTTGGGAGGCTAAGGCAGGAGAATAGCTCAAAAAAGAAAAGAAAATGTATATATATATATGCACACATAAACATATATAATATACACATTTACATATACTATGTGTATATATATGTATGTATATATGTGTGTGTGTATATATATATATATATATATTTTAATATGTATAACTACATTTTCTACTGTATGTATATTTTTTTTTTAGAGAGGGAGTCTCGCTGTGTTGACCAGGCTGGTCTTGAACTCCTGGGCTCAAGCAATCCTCCTGCCTCAGCCTCCCAAAGAGCTGAGATTATAGGCATGAGCCATTGCACCCAGCCAATAGTTTTCTTTATCCATAAATACTTCAATGTGTGTTTCCTCAGAAAAAGAAGTTTATTCTTTACCTGGCAACTATATATCAAAATCAGAAAATGCAGCATGACTGCACTATTATAAAATCCTGTGGTTTGAATCAGTGCACTGAGGTACCTCACAGCTCCCCAGTAAATTCACAGGGACATATCTGTGGAATATCTTGCATTCTAAATTTTCAAGGCAAACAAAATGAAACAGACTATGCAAAACTAGCTTGAGGTTGTTTACAGTTTCGACAATAGATGGTGCCAAATTCCTTGGCTATGTCATATCTTGATCTGGGTTTTCCAGTTGGTTGTGATGAAGAGAGTACAGTGCAAAAATCAATGCAGAACAGGAAATGAGGGTGGCCTTCGCCCAATCTGATTCCAAGGTTTTAAGAAGTATGTGCCCTACAGGTCCACACATCCCTTGAGTAAGTGTGATTATTTAAGAATGAAATAAAAATGTCGTTTTCCTATTAATTTGCATGTATTTTTTTTTCAAATGGCTACTTAAATTATTAAGGCATAAATACTTAATAAGTTGTTTGGACCTAGATATTTCTTTTCACCAAGGGGCATCGTGAAATACTGAGAGGCTGGGCGTGGTGGCTCACAGATGTAATCCCAGCACTTTGGGAGGCTGAGGTGGGTGGATCAGTTGAGGTCAGGGGTTCAAGATCAGCCTGGCCAACATGGTGAAACCTCTTCTCTACTAAAAATATAGAAATTGACCAGGCATGGTGTCAGGCACCTGTAATCTCAGCTACTCAGGAGGCTGAGGCAAGAGAATACCTTGAACCTGGAAGGTGGAGGTTACAGTGAGCCGAGATGATGCCACTGCTCTCCAGCCTGGTTGACACAGTGAGACTCCGTGTCAAAAAAAAAAAAAAAAGTACTGAGATACTGAAAGCACTGTGAACAAAGAAAACTTGGGAAATTTTTTTTTTTTTTTTTTTTTTTTTTTTTTGAGACAGAGTCTTGCTCTGTCACCAGGCTGGAGTGCAGTGGCACGATCTTGGCTCACTGCAACGTCCATCTCCCGGGTTCAAGTGATTCCCCTGCCTCAGCCTCTTGAATAGCTGGGACTACAGGTATTCACCACCACGCCTGGCAAGTTTTTTGTATTTTTTAATAGAGACAGGGTTTCACCATGTTGGCCAGGATGGTCTTGATCTCCTGACCTTGTGATCTGCCCACCTTGGTCTCCCAAAGTGCTGGGATTGCAGGTGTGAGCCACCGTGTCCAGCTGGAAAACTTTTATCTAACCCACAGTTAATACTCAAGTTTCACCATTTGTCCCAATAATATTTTCTTTTTTTTGAGCGGGAATCTTGCTCTGTAGCCCAGGCTGGAGTGCAGTGGCACAATCTTGGCTTACTGCAACCTCTGCCTCCTGGGTCCCAGTTCAACCAATTATCCTGCTTCAGCCACCCAAGTAGCTGAGATTATAGCCATGAGCCACCATGCCCAGCTAATTTTTGTATTTTTAGTAGAGATGGGATTTCACCATGTTGGCCAGGCTGATCTTGAACTCCTGACCTCGTGATCTGCCCACCTTGGCCTCCCAAAGTGCTGGGATTACAGGCGTGAGCCACTGCACCCAGCCAGTGATACCCTTTATAGCCATATTTGACTCAGTCAACTGGTCTGGGATCTAATCTAGGATTATTTAGTTATCATGTATCTTTAGTCTTCTTTAAGCTGGAATGGTTCCTCAACTTTTCTTTCTCTTTCAAAATAAGTTATTTTTAGAATATTCCTCAATTTGTGTTTATCTGGTGTATTCTTGAAATTAGATTTAGTTGTGTTTGACTGGAATACTACAGAAAAGATGTTATGGGCTAGGAGAGGTGGCTCATGCCTATAATCCCAGCAGTTTGGGAGGTGAAGGTGAGCAGATCACCTGAGGTCAGGAGTTCGAGACCAGCCTGGCCAACATGGTGAAACCCTGTCTCTACTAAAAATACAAAATAATTAACTGGGAGTGGTGGCACGCACCTGTAATCCCAGCTACTCAGGAGGCTGAGGCACAAGAATTGCTTGAACCTGGGAGGCAGAGGTTACAGTGAGCTGAGATCACGCCACTGCACTCCAGCCTGGGTGACAAAGCAAGACTCCATCAAAAAAAAAGATATTACATTCTTTTTTGGGCATTATATCAGTTGAGATGCCATTTTTTTCTGTTTATTAATGATGCTTACTTTAGTTTATTGGTTAAGGTGGGGTTCATGAGGCTAATCCAAAGTGACTTTTCCCTTTGTAATATGTAATTTGTAAAGGGGTACTTGGAGATAATATGGGTATCCTTTCTTCACTGAACTTTCACCCACAAATTTTTAGAACCAATGATTGCTTATGGCTGAAGAGATTATTACTATGATGGATGCTATATGGTGATTTTCCAACGCTGTCATTCCATTTGTATTTATTACTTGGTATTCTACCATAAGGGAAAGTTTTCTTTTCTCATTCATTCATTTATATCAGTATGACCTTATATATGCTTATTTTACTCCATGGATGTTATTTATTTTGATAGTCAGGTTGGCTCCTATGTCCTTTTGATATGTTTTCACCTTTTTTGTTATTTTTGTTTCTGTTTGTTTAGCACTTTCTTTCTTAGCACAGCAACAAGGCCTGCTTCCAAGGATCCTTTTAATAGAGGATGGTATTTAGAAACCAAGATCTGGGTGCTAGGTGTGCTCAGTAGTAGTAGAGTGTCTTTGCTTTTGGACCGTTCAGTTGATTGAGCCAAAAAAGAAACACATATACATATATACATGCATCTAAATCCATTTATTAAAATATAGTTCACATGGATAATACCAATACATTTTAGCATAACAGGATTTGTTCTAGTCTTCTCCCTTTCTGTATTAGGACTCCTTGCTTTAACAGTGAGAAACCTGGCTCCCTTTATCCTCATTATGTTTACTCATTTGCTCAATCCTACACTAATATTAAGTAGTTTTGGAGTTGCTAACCCATACCATTTTTAAAAAGCAAAAGCTCTTTGAACTAGAGTTCAGTATGTGTTTATGACTTTTTGTCCAAAACTGACAAATATAGTTTGTCATGTAGTATAAATATTATGTTCAAATGTTGGGTTAATCCATTTTTTTCCTTCAGTGTGATTATGGTTTCCATTCAATATACAATTAAGCTCATTTGTTTCTTTTGTATTTTAGTTTCAGGTTTTTGTCCCTCATGGTTATTGACTTTATTAAGTTCTGGGGGTATGTAAAACATTAACAGATTCAAAGTTAAAGCAATACAATCTGTATACCTACACGAGTGTCACTTTCACTCTTCATTCCAATCCTTTTCACCCCTTCCCACCTACCTCCTGTGGGCAATCAATCATGTAGACTGTGGTTTACTCCTTCCTGTGTTTCTTTCCATAAAAAATGAACAGTTATATGTATATTTTCTCATTTCTCCTTCTTTCTGACACAAAAAAGTAACATGTGTGTGCACAATTTTGAAATTTGCTTTTACACTTAACAATATATTCTGGGAAGGACCACATGCTATTTCACTATTACGTAAGAAAGATCATTCTCCTTTTTTTACAACTACATAGCACAATATCCTATTGTATGGATATATAATTTTTTCCGTCAATATATTTATGGGCATTTAGGTATTTTTGTATTATTGTGGATATGTCTTCAAGGTAAATTTCTTAAAAAAAATGGAATTACTGGATCAAAGGTAAATGTACATTTACTTTGTTATATATTGCCAAATTATGTAAGGTAACATTTTGAGAATTTTTGCATTTATATTCTTAAGTAATGTTGGAAGTAAGTAATATTATTAATACTAAAGTAATTTTATGCTACCTTTACCTGGTTTAGATATTAATGTTATACTTGCATTTTAGGTCAGGTGCCACGCGTGGCTCATGTCTGCAATCTCAGCACTTTCAGAAGTGGAAGTAGGAGGATCTGTTGGGGCCAAGAGATCAAGACCAGCCCTGGCCACATAGACCCTGTCTCTACAAAAATAAAATTTAAAAATTAGCCAGTTGTGGTGGTGCATGCCTACAATCCCACCTACTTGGAAGACTGAGGTGGAAGAATCACTTGAGCCCAGGAGTTCAAGGTTACAGTGAACTATGATTTCACCACTGCACTCCAGCATGGGTGACAGACAAAGACCTTGTCCCCAAAAACACCTACCAACACACACATATTTGGAAGTTTAAAAAATTCTATGCTCTTGAATAATTTGTGTGACAATTTTTTTTTTTAAACAGGGCTTCACCATGTTTCTCAGGCTGGTCTGAAACTCCTGAGCTCAATTGACCCTCCTGCCTTGGCCTCCCAAAGTGCTGGGATTACAGGCATGAGCAGTGGCACCTGGCCCAAAATTCATAAATTAGCAAAAGTAGGGAGAATAATGAACACTTGTTTTCCACCTTATCAACATGGATCAATCTTGTTTCATCTATACCCCACTCTCATCCAGATTATTTTTGAGGCAAACTGTAACTATGGTTATACTATAACCATCCATATCTTATTATATACTTTAGAAGATGAAGCTCTTAAAATACAAACAAATGAAATCTAACTGGCATACTATGGTGGCCGAATTATAAGATGGCCTCCAAGATTCCTGGCTCCTGGTACACACGTACCTTCTCGCAGTTAATCAAACATGAATTTGTGTGCTGCTACAAGGGATTTTGGTAATTAAGCTCCCAAATCAGTTTTTTTTTACACTAAGGATATTATCCTCCATGGACCTGACCCAATCAGATGAGTCCTTAAGTAGGATAGGGCTTTTCCTGGCAAGGGATATTAACTATGTGAGAAGCAATGGATAGGAGGAAGGTTCCCCAGGCTGGAAGGGGACACTTAGCAAGGACCTAAGAGTGGCCTCTTGGAGCTGACAGTAACCCCAGCCAACAGCAAGAAAAGGGGTATCTCAGTCCTACAACCAGAAGTAACTGTATTTTGCCAAATACCTGAATGAGCTTGGAAGGAGGTCCTGAGCTCTGATGAGAACCCAGCTGTCTGCTACCTTCATTGCAGCCTTGTGAGACTTTTTTTTTTCAGTCTCACTCCATTGCTTAGGCTGGAGTGCAGTGGTGCAATCTCAGCTTACTGCAACCTCTGCCTCTTGGATTCAAGCAATCCTCCCACCTCAGCCTCCCTAGTAGCTAGGATTACAGGTGTGCACCACCACACCCAGCTAATTTTTGTATTTTTAGTAAAAATGGAGTTTTGCCATGTTGTGCAGGCTGGTCTCAAACTCCTGGCCTCAAGTGATCCACCTGCCTTGGCCTCCCAGAGTGCTAGGATTATAGGCATGAGCCACTGCACCCGGCCTATTTTTTTGAAACAGGCTCTCTCTGTTGCCCAGGCTGGAATGCAGTGGCAAAATCATAGCTCACTGCAGCCTTGACCTCCTGGGCTCAAGCGATCCTCCTATTTCAGCCTTCCAAGTAGCTGTGACTACAGGTGTGTAGCACCATGCCTGGCTAATTATTCTTTGTAGAGGCAAGGTCTCACTATATTGCCCAGGCTAGTCTTAAATTCCTGGCCTCAAATGAGCCTCCCACCTCGGCCTCCCAAAGTGCTGGGGTTACAGGCCTGAGCCACTATCCTGGCCCTTTGTGAGATTTCTGGGCTAGAGAACCCAGCCTCTGTATGCCTGACCTTCTGACTTATAGGACTTCAAGATGTGTAATGTCTATTGTTTGAAACTGTTAAATTTGTGGTAATTTGTTATACAGCAATAGAAGACTAATATACACACTGAAAAGTTGGTAACAATTCCTCTCAGTGACCAAGTTTTTGTGGGAAAGTTTTTAACTACAAATTCAATTTTTTAAGGAGTTTTGCTTCCAGTATGGTAGTGTAAACACTTTAGATGAACTCTCCCACTGATTAAAAGAGCAATAACAGAGCTGGGTGCAGTGGCTCCTGCCTGTAATTCCAGCACTTTGGGAGGCCAAGGCAGGCAAATCACTTGAGGTTAGGAGTTGAAGACTAGCCTGCAAAACATGGCAAAACCCCATCTGTACTAAAAAGACAAAAATTAGCTGAGTGTGTTGGTGCACACCTGTAATCCTAAGGGAGGTTGAGGTGGGAGGATCGCTTGAATCCAAGAGCCAAAAGTTGCAGTGAGCTGAGATTGTGCCATCACACTCCAGCCTGGACAACAGAGTGAGACTCTTCCTCAAGAAAGAGAGAGAGAGAAGGAGAAGTGGGGAGGACAGGGAAGGAAGGAAGGAAAAAAAAACAACTACTGGGAGATTCTGAAGAGTCATAGAAACCAGGCTGATGGTAAAGGGGAGTAAAAATCTTGGACAAGCACCTGGCATGAGGATGAGTCTCTTGAGCAATGTGAGAACCTTGGACCCCTGACTCCATTGAGACTTTCTGCCTTCCTTATTAGGGTAGAGGGTTTTAGTTCTGAGTCTGCGGGCATATTATGCTTCCCTGTAGACATCCCTGTACTCATCCTACTACAGACCATCCCAAAGAGTGTGTGGTGGTTCATCTTTTCCAAAAGTGGCTGTGACATCTCCCATTCCATATGACCTTTTTTACGTAGTGGCAAAATACACATAACGTAAAATGTATCATTTTAACCATTTAAAAATGTATACCTCAGTGGCATTAGGCACATTCACGTTGTTGTATGTGCCATCACTGCCATCTGTCTCCAGAACTTTTTCATCTTCCCAAACTGACACTCCATACTCACTGAGCACTAACTCTCCTCCTCTCCTCCCGCCCAGCTCCTGGCACCCATCATTCTACTTTTGTCTCCATGAATTTGAGTACTCTAGCCACCTCATTTGAGTAGAATGGCTGGCTTATGTCACTTAGCATAATGTCTTCAAGGTTCCCATATGAAATTCTAAGAATGGGCTGGAGACTCCTCTTCATAGGTCTATGTTTCTCTACCTTGAATCTGCGTGGAATTGTAACTATGGTGTTAGTGACGTCATGCCACCTCCAAAACTAAGCCATAAAAGGCAATGCAATTTCCTTCTGGTTCTCTTGAAATGCTCACTTTTGGAATCTAGCCACCAAACTGTGAAGATTCCAGCTCTTCATGGAGAGGACCATCGAGAGAGAAACTGGAGCTTCCCACTCACACCCACAACCACAGCTGAGCTCCCATATGACAAGCAGCACCACCTTGCCAGCCCTGGGATTGAGCCATCTTGAAAGTGCCAAGACAATGAAGCAAAGATGCCAACAAGCAGTGGAATATAGCAATAAGGAACACATAACAAGTGATATTCAGTAATATGGGCAGGTAGAAAATTACCATTAACCAGATCATGAGGTCAGGAGTTTGAGACCAGCCTGGCCAACATGGTGAAACCCCATCTCTACTAAAGATACAAAAAATTAGCTGGGCCTGGTGGCAGGCGCATGTAACCCAAGCTACTCGGGAGGCTGAGGCAGGAGAAAGCAGAGGTTGCAATGAGCCAAGATTGTGCCATTGCATTCCAGCCTGGGTGACAGGGAGACTCCATCTCAAAAAAAAAAGAAGAAGAAAAGAAAGAAAATTATTATCAACCCAACCAAGAAAAATTTGGGCTCAGAGCAAGGTGCCAATTTCTTGGGCGACATCCTGAGGTACCTAGAGGATTACTGGAAGTGCTCAAATGCTATCTTCCTTCTGTTCTTTGAATGTCAAGTTCACATGCAGCTCATGGCCTTTGTATACAGGCCTCTTCCTAAAATGCCCTTCTCTAGATCTTGAGGTTCTCCAGCCATACCATTCTGGCTCCTCATGGAGAGATTTTTGGCACAAACCAGTGTTTCCACCTACATATCTAGTTGCAGTTAATGGCACCCAATTGCCTAATAAAAATGTAGGGAAGGGAAAGGAAGGGTAGGGAAGTGAAGGGGAGAGAAGGGGAGAGGGAGAAAGGAAAGAAAAGAAAAGAAAGGAGGGAAATCTTTAGAGCTATGGCACAGGGCTCTACTTTTTAACCCAGCTCTCTTTAACAATTTGGGTAAATATATAGCAGAGATAATATTCAAAAGTTGTGGATTGGCCAGGTGAAAGCTGTAATTCCAGCACTTTGGGAGGCTGAGGTTGGTGTATTGTTTGAGGTCAGGAGTTCAAGACCAGCCTGGGCAACATGATGAGACCCCATCTCTACCAAAAAATACAAATATTTTCTGAGTGTGGTAACAGGCACCTGTAGTCTCACCTGGTCTGGGGGCAGAGGTAGGAGGATTATTTGAACCCAGAAGGCAGAGGTTGCACTGGGTTGGGATTGAGCCATTGCACTCCAGCCTGGGTGAAAGAATGAGACCTTGTCTCAAAAAAAATTGTGGATAACAATTCAAAATTGAGAACAACGTTGATTTTTGTTTTACTTTTTTTAGACACAGGGTCTCACTCAGTCACCCAGGGTAGAGTGTGGTGATATGACCATACCTCACCATAGCCTCAACCTCCTAGGCTCAAGGAATCCTCCCACCTTAGTCTCCTGAGTAGCGAGGACTACAGGCACATGCCACCATGCCAGGCTAATTTTGTTTTCTTTTCTGCAGAGACAGGCCTTGCTATAAGCTTGTCTTGAATTCTTGGTCTCGAGTTTTCCTCCTGTCTCAGCCTCCCAAAGTGCTGGGATTACAGGTGTGAGCTACCACATCTAGCCAACATGTTGCTTATAATGGACAACTGAAAGAAGTTTTTTTTTTTTTTTTTTTCGAGGCAGAGTCTCACCCTGTCACCCAGGCTGAAGTGTGGAGGCACGATCTCAGCTCACTGCAACCTCTGCCTCCCAGGTTCAAGTGGTTCTCCTGCCTTAGCCTCCTGACTAGCTGTGACTACAGGTGTGTGCCACCATGCCTGGCTAATTTTTGTATTTTTAATAGAGTCAAGGTTTTACTGTGTTGGCCAGGTTGATATTGAACTCCTGACCTCAGGTGATCTACCCGCCTTGGCCTCCCAGAGTGCTGGGATTACAGGCATGAGCCACTAGTGCCCAGCCCTGAAATAATATTTCAAATGATCAGTCTGCTGCTGATTGATTATGCATATTAGCAATTTGACTCAGTTTTAACATTTTGCAGTTAAAGTCCATCAACGTTACTTATACAACACTCACATTTCTAATTCAACTTAGGAGTTGAATTGCTTTGTCATTGGGTAGGTCTGTTCAGCTTTGGTTGGTACTGCCAAACAGTTTTCCAAAGTGGCTGTCAACTTACACTCCCAACAGTGAATGAAATTTTCAGCTGTTCCAAATTCTCATTGGCCCCTCAATTTTGCTAGTCTTTTAATTTTAGCCTTCCTTAGACATTTGTAGTAGTATCTAATTGTAGTTTTAATTTGCATTTCCCTGGTGACTAATGAGGTTGAGTGCCTTTTCATATTTTTAAGGGTTGTTTCTTCTTATATGAAATACCTGTTGCCTGGCACAATGGCTCACACCCGTAATCCCAGCACTTGGGGAGGCGGTGGGCAGGATCACTTGAGTCCAGGAGTTCAAGACCAGCCTGGGCAACATTAGGGAGATCCCATCTCTACAAATAATACAAAAATTAGCTGGGCATGGTGGCGTGGGCCTGTGATCCCAGCTATTTGGGAGGCTGAGGTGGGAGGATCACCTGAGCCCAAGAAATTGAGGCTGCAATGAGCCATGATTCCACCACTGCACTCCAGCCTGGGTGACAGATGTACCCTATGACAAAGCAATTCAACTCCTAGGTCTATACCTCTTAGAAAGGTGAAAATGTGAAAAGGCACTCGACCTCATTGGTCTAAAAAAAAGTATCTGTTCAATGATCTAATGTTTTATTGAGTTGCTTATTTTTTTATTGATTTGTAAAAATCTTTATATAGTCTACATATATATTCTTTATCAGATATACACTTTGCACCAGAATATTTGTAGCACTACTATTAGTAATAGTAAAAACTGGAAACAACTCATTTGTCCAGCAGTGGAGGAATGGATACATAGTGATATATTCTTTCCTTTTTTTTTTCTGAGACAGAGTCTTGCTCCATCGCCAGGCTGGAGTGCAGTAGGGTGATCCTGGATCCCGGCTCACTGCAACTTGTGTTTTCCGGTTTCAAGCAATTCTCCTGCCTCAGCCTCCCGAGTGGCTGGGACTACAGGCACGCACCACCACACTCGGCTAATTTTTTGTACTTTTAGTAGAGACGAGGTTTCACCATGTTGGCCAGGATGGTCTCAATTTCTTGACCTCGTGATCTGCCCACCTCAGCCTCCCAAAGTGCCGGGATTACAGGCGTGGGCCACCGCGTCCGGCATAGTGACATATTCTTAAACAATGGAACTCTAAATTATTGCTATACAATACTAAGCTTCTGCTGGGAATCTCACAGATGTAATGATGAGTTGAAGAAGGTAGGCACAAAAGTGTATTACTGTATGATTCCAATCATATAAAGTTCAAACCAGATCAAACTAATCAGTGAGTAAGGAGTCAGGATTCTGGTTATTTCAGGGATAGGGATGGAAGAGGGCTATAAGGAGGTGTCTGGAAGCTGGTCATGTTCTAGATCTTGATCTGAGTTGAGGTTACATAGGTGTATTCACTTCATGAGAATTCAGAGGGCCACACACTAATGATCTGTATAATGCTCTTCTATTATATGTCACACTTTGAAAAAGTTTACAGAAACAGTTCCTTCCTAATTTTCACAGGGCCTAAGAGCTAAAAACGCAGCCCTGGCCTGATGTTTTTCTCTGCTCAGGGTTTCTTGTGCTGTGCCTGTGATAGCTCTTGGTGTCCATGGAAACCAGACGAAGACAGCGTGGTGGGGAAACAAGCCAGAGGGAAACTGGAGCTGGAGAAGCTTTGCTCATGTAACGGAGGAACAGAGCCCCCCCACCCCCCAACGAGTCTTCCCTCCCTGTACTCTCAGATTTCAATCAGCTACAGCCAGTTCCCTGCCACCACAATGTCCGCCTAAGACAACTCTGGCTGCTGCTTGTCGTAATTTACATCAATAACTGCTACCAGTCCACCTTCTCCTTCCTGGCTTTCATCTTCCTCTACCCAGCAGGAAAGTTGGCCTGCCAGGGACTCAAAACAACAACAACAAAAAGGTCTTCGCTAGATCAGGGGACACTAATACCTCATTAACCTTACGAGGGCATAAGTCCTAAAAGGCCTTTGAGTAGCCGTGGTAAATGTTACAGACTCTGTGCATTAGAGCATAAGCTCTTTACTCACAGGAGAGTTCTCTGGATTCTTGCTCAGAGCTTATGCATCCCTATTTTAAACAGAGTCGTATCACCTTGTTATCTGATTGCTTAGATCTGCAAAAACACAGGGTAGAAGTGAATGGGTGAAATTCTCCCCTGAGGGTGCCCACGTGCCTGGCTTTGTAAGTTTGAGAATTGTTCTGGTTATATCTGGGTACGAATGTGTGTATGCAAGCATATGTGTGGGGGTCTCTGTGTACACTCATGTGTTGGTTATAATGAATGTGTGTGAGAGAGTGTGGATTAGCATCTCGTGCATCTGTCAGTTTCGTGTGTGCATATTGGGTGTATACTAGATGAGGACGTTTGTGAATGAGTTTGTCATTTTTTGGGTTTATATGTGTACATGTGATCAGATGTAAAATATGTAAATGAGAATTAGCACTTTTTTGACTCTGTAGGAAATATGACACAGCATTTGTGGGGATGCTTATAAGTTTTTATCTTCAATTTAAACTGTAAGTTTGTATGAGAATTTATATAGGGATAGCTCTAGGGAAAGTTTTCAAGTCATATGGTTGAACCATATGGAATTACCATTTTTGTGGGCTAAAAATGGTTAAATATTCTGTAATTTTTGTATGATTCAAATTAATGGGTGTGTATGTACATGTGTATGCACACATACATAAATTCAAGTTAGCATAGTTCCTGCATCAATTAGTAATACAATCAGAGCTGAGAAGAAGATGACCACCAGGAGCCTGAGATCTGGGAAGAAACTTAACAGAGACCTTGAGGGAAAGATAAGATATGGAAAGAATGATGAATAATGCAACAGAAAGTTGCAAAAGGGAAATAATGGGAAAAGAAGTTGAAAGTTCTTTACCCAGGAAAGCCTTCTCCGACACTTGTTTTGTATCCATGCAACCCAAGTTCGCCTCTGCCTCGGGCCTTCTACAACCCCCATGAACTGACTCTATGGCAACACTCATCACCCTGAGCTATAATTGTTCATCTAATTGGCTGTCTTCCCCACCACGCAGCAAGTTCACATAGGGCAATGACTGTCTCTCTCGTTCACTTATATTCCCAACACTTAGGACAAAGCTTGGTACAGAATGGAAACTTAGCTAGCATTTATTGAAGAAACGGATGGCTGAAAGCCAGGTCTCCTGATAAAGCAGTGCATCATCAGTCTAAGGAGTACAACTTGTTCTGGCCAATGCATGTGACTATCAGTTTTTTGGCAACTGACAGACATTTTGGAGAGTCAGTTAACATAGACAAAACATCATTTAAAAATACTAATTTAGGAGTGGTATCAAGAATAGACAGAAGTAGGTCAGGCGAAGTGGCTCAGATCTGTAATCCCAGCACTTTTAGAAGGCTGAGGCAGAATTACTTGAGACTAGGAGTTCAGGACCAGCTTGGGCAACAGAAAGAGACCCTGTCTCTTAAAAAAATAAAAATAAAGGCCAGGTGTGGTGTGGTGGCTCTTACCTGTAATCCTGGAACTTTGGGAGGCTGAGGCAGGAGGATCACTTGAGCCCAGGAATTCAAGACCAGCCCAGGCAACACAGGGAGACCCCATCTCTACAAAAAATTAAAAAATTAGGCCAGGCACAGCGGCTCACACGTGTATTCCCAGCACTTTGGGATGCTGAGGTGGGTGGATCACTTGAAGTCAGGAGTTTGAGACTGGCCTGCCCTAAATGGCAAAAACCTATCTCTACTAAAAAAAAAGAATACTAAAAGTAGCCAGGCAGGTGGTGCACAAAATAAGTCATCCTACCCACTTGTGCATGCCTGTAATGCCAGCTACTTGGGAGGCTGATGCATGAGAATCGCTTGAACCTGGGAGGTGGATGTTGCAGTGAGCCAAGATCACACCACTGCACGCCAGCCTGAGCAACAGAGCCAGACTCTGTCTCAAAAAAAAAAAAAATTAGCCAGGGATGGTGGCACACACGTATAGTCGCAGACACTGAGGAGGCTGAGGTGGGAGGATCACTTGAGCCAGGGAGGTTGAGGCTGCAGTGAGCTGAGATCACACTACTGCACTCTACCCTGGCTGCCAGAGTGAGACCCTGTATAAAAAACAAAAACAACAACAATAACAACAAAAATGGAATGGAAAGAAGTAGGTTAATGTAGGTTATGGTTGGCCATCAGAGGCCCAGTAGTTCCTATGCATGTGGTAATAAATATCTAGATGACAATGGCAATGGGAATGGACAGCAAGGGAGAGATGAAAAAACTGCAATAGAAACAGCTTCTTGGTGACTGCTAGGTTTGGGGCAAACAGAGAAAGTGGAGTGAAGGCTGACCCCAAGTTCTGGAGCCTGAGTGGCTGAGATAATGACAGTCACCCCAACAGAAATAAGGAGACCTATTTAAACAGTGACAAGATCTGTTTTGAACACATTGTAGGTTTTGGATATTGATATGGTTTGGCTGTGTCCCCATCCAAATCGCATCTTGAATCATAATCCCCATGATCACCACGTGTTGTGGGAGGGACCTAGTGGGAGGTGATTGAATCATAGGGGCTGTTTTCCCATGCTGTTCTCGTGATAGTGAGTGAGTTCTCATGGGATCTTGATCATTTTCCCCTTCCGTAAGATATCACACTGGCCCATTACATTGATGGCACTGTGCTGATTGGATCCAGTGAGCGAGAAGTAGCGAGCACACTGGACTTGTTGGTGAGACATTTGTATGCCAGGGGATGGGAAATAAAGCCGACTAAAATTCGGGGACCTTCTACCTCAGTAAAATTTCTGGGAGTCCAGTGGTATGGGGCCTGTCAAGATGTTCCTTCTAAGGTGAAGGACAAGTTGCTGCATTTGGCCCCTCCTACAACCAACCAAGAAAGAGGCACAATGCCTAGTGGTCCTAACTGGATTTTGGAAGCAACACATTCCTCATTTAGGGATGTTATTCCGGCCCATTTATTGAGTGACCTGAAAGCCTACAAGTTTTGTGTGGGGTCCAGAACAGGAGAAGGCGCTGCAATAGGTCCAGGCTGTTGTGCAAGCAGCTCTGACACTTGGACCATATGACGCAGCAGCTCCAATGGTGCCTGAGGTATCAGAGGCGATAGGGATGCTGTTTGGAATCTTTGGCAGGCTCCCATAGATGAATCACAGTGGAGGCCTCTAGGATTTTGGAGTAAACCTTTGCCATCTGCTGCAGATAAATACTGTCCTTTTGAGAGACAGCTCGTGACCTGTTACTGGGCTTTTGTGGAAACTGAACATTTGATTATGGATCATCAAGTCACCATGTGACCTAAACTCCCTATCATGCACTGAGTGCTTTCTGAGCCATCTAGTCATAAAGTGAGGCATGCACAGCAGCATTCTGGCATCAAACGGAAGTGGTATATACATGATCGAGTTCAAGCAGGTCCTGAAGGCACAAATAAGTTACATGAGGAAGTGGCTCAAATGCCCAGATCTCCACTCCTGCCACCATGTCTTCTCTCCCCAAGCCTGCACTGATGGCCTCATAGGGAGTAACCCGTGATCAATTGGCAAAGGAAGAGAAGACTATGGCCTGGTTTACAGATGACTCTGCACGATATGCAGGAACCACCCAAAAGTGAACAGCTATAACACTATAGCCTCTTTCTAGGACATCCATGAAGGACAGGGGTGAAGGGAAATCTTCCCAGTGGGCAGAACTTCAAGCGGTGCACCTGGTTGTACACTTCACTTAAAAGGAAAAATGACAAGATGAGTGGTTATGTACTAATCCATGGACTGTTGCCAATGGTTTGGCTGGATGGTCAGGGACTTAGAAGAAACATGATTGGAAAATTGGTGACAAAGAAATTTGGGGAAGAGGTATGTGGATGGTCAGAAAGAAGTAAGTGGTCAAAAACTGTGAAGATATTTGTATCTCGTGTGAGTGCTCACCAGAGTGTGACCTCAGCAGAGGAGGATTTTAATGATCAGGTGGATAGAATTACTTGTTCTGTGGGCACCACTCAGTGTCTTTCCCCACCCAACCCTGTCATCACCCAATGGGCTCATGAACAAAGTGGCCTTGGTGGCAGAGATGGAAGTTTTGCATGGGTTCAGCAATATGGACTTCCACTCACCAAGGCTGCCCTTTCTATGGTCACTGCTGAGTGCCTAATTTGCCAGCAGGAGAGACTAACACTGAGCCCTCAACATGGCATTATTCCTTGGGGGTGATGAGCCACCTACTTGGTGGCAGGTTGATTATACTGAATCTCTTCCATCATGGAAAGATGATTGTCCTCTCTGGAATAGCCACTTACTCTGAATATGGGTTTGCCTATCCTGCATGCAATGCTTCTGCCAAGACTACCATCTGTGCATTCATGGAATGCCTTATCCCCGTCATGGTATTCCACACAGCACTGCCTCTGACCAAGGCACTCACTTTATGGCTAAAGAAGTGCAGCAGTGGGCTCATGCTAATGGAATTTAGTGGTCTTACCATATTCCCCTGAAGCAGCTGGATTGATAGAACAGTGAAATAGCCTTTTGAAGTCACAATTACAACACCAACTAGGTGACAGTAGTTTGCAGGGCTGGGGCAAAGTTCTCCAGAAGGCTGTATGAGCCCTGAATCAGCACCCAATATGTGGTGCTGTTCCTCCCATATCCAGGATTCATGGGTTGAGAAATTAAGGGGTGGAAGTGTAAGTGACACCACTCATCATCACCCCTAGTGGCCCATTAGCAAAATTTTTGCTTCCTCTTCTGGTTACATTGCATTCTGCTGGCCTAGAGGTCTTGGTTCTAGAGGGAAGAATGCTGCCACCAGGAGACACAACAATGATTCCATTAATCACCTGGACACTTTGGGCTCCTCCTACTTCTAAGTAAACAGGCTAAGAAGGGCATTACAGTGCTGGCTGAGGTGATTGACCCAAACTATTAAGATGAAATCAGTTTACTACTCTACAATGGAGGTAAGGAAGAATATGGATGGAATTATAGGAGATCCCTTAGGGCATCTCTTAGTATTACCAGGCCCTGTGATTAAGGTCAATCAGAAACTACAACAACCCAATCCAGGAAGGACTACAAATGGCCCAGATCTTTCAGGAATGAAAGTTTGAGTCACTCCACCAGGTAAAAAACCATGACCTGCTGAGGTGTTTGCTGAAGACAAAGGTAATAGAGAATAAGTAGTAGAAGGTAGTCATCAATACCAGCTATGCCCACATGACCAGTTGCAAGAATGAAAATCCAAATGTTAATCACCAAGGTAATGGAGAAAATGTCTCCAGGGCTTGTCAGAGGTCTTCATGGCAGCCCCTCCCATCACAGGTCTGAAGGCCTAGAAGGAAAAATTGGTTTTGTGGGCCAGGCCTGGGGCTTTGCTGCTTTGTGCAGTTTCCAGACTTGGTGCCCTGTGTCCTAGCCATGGATAAAAGGGGCAAATGTACATCTTGGGCCATGGCTTTAGAGGGTGCAAGCCCCAAGCCTTGGTGGCTTCCACATGGTTTTGGGTGGTTCACAGAAGTCAAGAATTGAGGTTTGGGAACCTTCACTTAGATTTCAGAGGATGTATGGAAACACCTGGATGTCCAGGCAGAAGTTTGCTGAGGGGTGGAGCCCTCATGAAGAACCTCTACTAGGGCAGTGCAGAATGAAAATCTGGAATTGGGGCTCCTGCACAGAGTCCCCACTGGGGCATTGCCTAGTGAAGCTGTGAGAAAAGGGCCACTGTCTTCCAGACTCCAGAATGGTAGATCCACTGACAGCTTGTACCATGCACCAGGAAAAGCTGCAGACACTCAGTGCTAGCCTGTGAAAGCAGCTGGGAGGAGGGCTGTACCCTGCAAAGCCACAGTGGTGGAGCTTCCCAAGGCCATGGGAACCCACCTCTTGCATCAGCCTGACTTGGATGTGAGACATGGAGTCACAGGAGATCATTTTGGAACTTTAAGGTTTAATGACTGCCCTTACTGGATTTTGGACTTGCATGGGGGTCTGTCACTCCTTTGTTTTGGTCAATTTTTCCCATTTTTAATGGGTGTATTTACCCAGTGCCTGTACCCCCCACTGTATCTAGGAAGTAACTAAGTTGCTTTTGATTATACAGGCTCATAGGCAAAAAGGATTTGCCTTGTCTCAAATTTGACTTTAGACTTAGACTTGTGGGTTAATGCTGGAATAAGTTAAGAATTCAGGGACTGTTGGGAAGGCATGATTATGTTTTGAAATGTGAGGACATGAGATTTGGGAAGGGCCAGGAGTAGGATGGTATGGTTTGGCTATGTCCCCACCCAAATCTCATCTTGAATTGTAATCTCCATAATCCCCATGTCATGAGAGGGACCTGATGGGATGTAATTGAATCATGGGGGTAATTTCCTCCATGCTATTCTCATGATAGTGAGTAAGTTCTCACAATATCTGATGGTTTTATAAGTGTCTGGTAGTTCCCCTGTTGGCATTTATTCACTATTCTGCTGCCTTGTGAAGAGGTGCCTTCTACCATAATTGTAAGTTTCCTGAGGTCTCACCAGCCATGGGGAACTGTGAGTCAATTAAACCTCTTTTCCTTCTAAATTCCCCAGTCTGTTATTTCTTCATACTGATAGTGACAGGAGGTAGACAAATGCCTAAGCAGATAGGGTTGGGTCCCTTGTGAAACCCAACTTTCAAGCCAACAACAGTCCCAGGTAAATCCTCAGACCAGATCAAAAACCTGTCTTCCCTTTTGGCACATTTTCCTCTGATGGATTCCACCCTTCACCTATTTTACATATACCTACACTTCCCTAATTGGTTTTTTTACATGGCTGTTGTCACCTTTGAGTAGATTCTTTGTTTTAACTTTTTTTTTGCATACTCGTAAACCAATCAGCATGCACTCCCCTATTCTGAGTCCATAAAAGCCCTGGACTCAGCCACACTGGTAGAGAAACCACCAACTACAGGGTTGGGGGACCACCCCGTGTCCCTTCTTTGCTGAGAGCTATAACATCACTCAATAAAATTATTCTCTGCCCTCCTTACCTTTTGAATCATCAGCATATCCTCATTCTTCTTGGTTGCAGGACAAGAGATCCAGAACCACCATATGTCAATACAAGCTATAACACAGGCAGGCCAAGTGAGTGGGGCACCTCCAACAGCAGGCCTGGGGCCCAGCAAGGCCCAGGCTGAGAGTGGAGGTGGGGGTGTCACTGGCCATGGAGCTCCTTGGATGGCAAAGTGGCCAAGGAAAACCCTGCATCATATCTGGGGAATCATCTGAGATTTGTCAGACAGGTGAGTGAATGTGAACATATAACTTCACTTTTTTCTAAGGCTTCTTGTCCTTACACTTTTTATTGAAGGCAGACAAAGCACCAAACTTCTGATTAGCTAGTTAAGAGCAAATGGTGTGACTGGGTGTGGTGGCTCATGCCTATAATCCCAGCACTTTTGAAAGCTGAGGTGGATGAATCACCTGAGGTCAGGAGTTTGACACCAGCTTGGCCAACATGGTAAAACCCAAACTCTACCCAAAATATATATTTTTAAAAAATTAGCCAGGTGTGGTGGTGCATACCTGTAATCCCAGGTACTCTGGAGGCTGAGGCAAGAGAATCACTTGAATCCAGGAGGAGGAGGTTGTAGTGAGCTGAGATCCTGCCACCTTACTCAAGCATGGGTGGCAGAGAAAGACTCCATCTCAAAACAAACAAACAAACAATAAACAAACAAAACCCAACAAATGGTGCAATTACAGAGGACAGGATGCTGAAAAGGAACCCCCACTGTTGCTCTTGGGAGTTGAGAATGTCAGCCTCATTCCAATCCAGTCTTTTCTATGGCATTTTTCTTCTTTTTATTGTGGCTGTCATGGCACCCAACTCTGCCTTTTACAATGCTGACAGTGTTGTTGCAAACTACAGAAATATTACTGGGAAGAATGGGCACTTGGCCCAGTCATCAAAAATGTAATTCAGGACAATGCAGTTTCTGTCTTCTTAGAAGAGTGGGAGGAAGCAGTGATTAGGAGTTTCCTTCCCTGTTGGGGGAACCCATTTGCAGAAGAGCAAGAGGATTTTTCTCCCAGACACCTTCCCCTCCCTGCCCTTAAGCTGTTTTTTCTTCCTTTTCTCCACAATGTCAGGAGGTAACACAGCCCTGTGAATACAGAGAGCTTTTCTATGCAAAAGGTTTTTTTTTTGGAAAGGGGAAGGCATAGGCCAGGACACCAATTCATGGGATTTCTTTTTCACTGCCTTGTTTGAGGAGGACCCCATTCCACAGCTTCACTTTAACATTTGCATTATAATAAGGAAGCACCAGAGGAGCGGCCTTTCCAGCTGCTGGCTACAGTCCAGCAAGGGCCACCTGGGACTCAAGAGTCCGTGCACCCTCCTGAAGCACCTGTTTTTCCCAAACTCAATTCCAAGCTTTGAGTTGAAGTCTTAGAAAGGAAAACTGGACCTGAGGGATCCAGAGACAGATGACGATGGAAATCAAGGGGCACAGTGCAGGTAGGCTTAATTCCTGCTGATTAGGCCTCCCTCCTTTTCATGGATGAGAGTTATACCCGTATCCATGGCATAGATGAGGTTACTGACAGCAGGGAGGGCAGGCCAGCATGTAGATGAGTGTAGATAGTTCCTACCCTTTAGGTGTCCCTGTTACATGGGTGAAAGCCATTTTGGCACCCATGGGTGGCACTCTGCCAAGGTTGCCAGAGCTTGGGGATATAAGGAGAAAAGAAAAAAGGGGATGCCTTTTCTTTCTCTCCCTTACATGCCCCATGTATTCACTGGGAAGAGAAAGGACAAAGGGACTCCTTTTTCCCCTCTTTCCAGCTGGGTAACCAACCATCTTCAGTCTGTATTTCTCTCTAATGCATCCTGAATCACTGGGACTCCTTTGGGAAGAAAAGCCTTCTTTTTCTTTTTCCTCCTCTCTCCTCTCTTCATGGATGGGTAATTGTGCCCCCATATGACAGATGTATCCCTCAAACTGGGAAAAGTTTAATTTCCTCAAACCTTAAACTGTTTGGCTTAAAAATAAACCAGGAAGAAATTACAGATCAAACGGGGCAAATCTCCTGAGGAGGGCCAACTTTTACAGTATGCAAAAACTCTTTATTTGCTCCCCCTTTATGTGACTCCATGGTCAAAAGGGCTCCATAACTCAGGGGAAGGGAACCAAGAAGCCTGACTTGCCAGAAAAAGAGTAAAAGTTTTTACCAGTCAGGCTTCTAGCCTCTCTCTCTCTGTGCAGACTGGTTGAATTAATGATAAAAATCACTGTTTATATCCTCTGCAAAGTTTTGATTAATGGAAAAAAAGGATTAATGAGGCGAGTCTTAAGCTGTAGCCAATCGGGTATGCTTTGTGTGTTTTTCAGTATGGTTCTGTCATAAGGAGGAGTACCTTGGGATAAAATGTGGGTTACTGCTCATGCCAGCCCACCAAACTCGTCAGTAACAAACTTTGTTGCAGGTCTCTGAAGAATAAAAAACAACTGAATGAGGTCTCCATGTTGTTTTACATCCTTGGGAACTTGACCTTGTAACCACGTAGCAGTACTTTCTTTTGGTCTCTGCCATTTTACAGTGGTGACCTGAGTTCAGTCCTGGCTTAAGGAATGAGTACTTTCTGGTTAGTATCTGTGTGACTGTTACCATTTGCTGATTCTCTTTTCCTCCATGAACAACTTCTAGCTTCCTTTCTTAAATCTTCCTTTCTCTGAGCTACCTTTAAAGATTCTAGGTTTTGTTAAAAGTGCTGACTACCTGTTTGACAATACCTTGTACACTTACAGCTAAATCATAACCTTAGTTGAGGCTTATTGGTTTCATCTGTGAGATACTTTTGGTAAAGTTCAAAAGTCAGAAATATTGGCTGTTTGGCATGGTTAAAGTCAGGTAATAGGAATTGAAAAGGATTTTTTAAAAAGAGTGTTGTGGTTAAAAGCTTAATTAAAAGTGGATGCATATATATATGTGTGTATATATATATGTGTGTGTGTGTATTTATATATGTGTATATATATCTCCAAGCTGTAGGTATATCCAGGTCTTTATGGTTTTTTTTCTCTTCTTGAATCTTTTTTTGCTGGGAAAGGTTTTTTTTTCTTCTCAGTCGACTGAATTATTTTTCCCATTTTGCCTTGTCACTCTTAATGCATGTATGAGGGGCTCTAAGGTAACTTCTGATAGCCTGGGACTGCTTGGGAAGCCTCTGTTTTCCTCATGAAACCCCAAGAATTAAAAGCAAATAAATCCATCTCAAAATCTGTTTTTATCTTCCAGCTACATCTGCTTATTACACCTTAGAAACTGCATGATTTCCTATCCCTGCTTCTTGAAGGGTTCCACCCAGAGGCCAGTAATCCAATTAAGAAACCAGCAGATGAAAAATCTTACAACTACTGTATTATCTTCTGTCTACCTGTGTAGTTATATATGTGTATATATGTGATGTTTATATTAAAAAAGAGCTCTAATTAATTGGCTAGAGAAAAGTAAGTGCTTAGATCAAATCTTTTTTGAAGAAAAAATTGCCTTTTAGTTCATGCAACATTTATCTTTGAGAAATAAAAACAGTTTTAAAGATTACTGGCAAAATACAAATGTCTTCTAATGTAAACATGTAGTCTAAATTGTGTTCAGATATTAGGTTTGCTAAATGCTTTAAGATCATGAATTGCTTCTTTGGCTTTTGAAAATTGTTTAAGGCCAGGTACAGCGGCTCATGCCTGTAATTCCAGCACTTTGGGAGGCCAAGGCAGGTGGATCATGAGGTCAAGAGATCAAGACCATCCTGGTCAACATGGTGAAAGCTTGTCTCTACTAAAAATACAAAAAATTAGCTGGGCGTGGTGGCGTGTGCCTGTAATCCCACCTACTCAGGAGGCTGAGGCAGGAGAATTGCTTGAACCCAGGAGGCGGAGGTTGCAGTGAGCCGAGATCGCGCCATTGCACTCCAGCCTGGGTAACAAGAGTGAAACTCTGTCTCAAAAAAAAAAAAAAACTTACCAGATTTTACATTAAAATTAAAAATTGTTAACAGTTACCATTATAACATGTAATTGAGACAACTGAAAATAGATTCACATGCAAGGTGTGTAAGGGAAATAAAATGTTTTTAGTAAGATTATAAAAAGGCATTGGAATGTAAATTTTTGCTTAGTTTAGAGGGTTAAAAGACTGTTTTTCATTAAATAAGATAAAGCTAAAGGTTTAAACAAGTTGTGGGAGGTTTGTAAAAATTAATATTACAGGTGGGGGAGGGGAATAAAAAAAGAAAAAAGAAAAAATTAATATTACAAAAGAAATTATGTGTGTGAGTATATTGACTAAATTCAAAAGAGTATTATATGGTTTTTCCATAAATTGAGCATTGGTATAAAAACACAACAAGGTTTTCTTAAGGCACTGATATGCTCTTTAACAAAAATTTGTACAGGGTTATAAGAGGTTTATAAGAATCTGATGTCACAGTCAAACTGGTTAAGATTTGGTGGAATTATCTATGAGGACTCATTTTAAAAAACTGTGATTTGTTGACATTAATAGTAGACTAATGCAAGGGTGAAATTTGACTTTCTCTCCCTTGAACAAGATTTCATGTAATGGCAAAAAATAATGAAAGATTTTTGTTTGCCTTGTGAATTAACTACCAAAAAAGAAGAAGAAGAAGAAGAAGGAGGAGGAGGAGGAGGAGGAGGAGGAGGAGGAGGAGGAGGAGGGGGAGACAGGAGAGAGATTGTTTGGAAAGCTAAGTCTTCCCTCTTAATGAGTAAAGATTTTTGCTTTTTATAAATTTTTGACTCATCATTTTAGCTAAATAAAATTACTTATGTTAATCTGGAATTCTGTTTCATAATATCAAGTGTTTTAAACCTCTAATATATTTAACATGCTTCCCAAAATGAAATTTTAGCTTCACAAATTGTCTTTTTTGACCTCTATCTTTTGAATGCTACAGAGGGCCCCTGGAGCATCCAAATGAAAGGTAAACAGGATTATTTGACATGCTTAGTTACATGGGATTGCCAAAATAAAAATAAGGTTTAATCTTCTTCAGGTTATATTTTAGTGAATAATATTAATATATGTTCCAAAATTATATGGTACAGCTAAAATGCTAATGTCTGAGTATATGCTGTCAATCATATTTAAGGTTACTAGGTTAAGTTGTTGTAAACCACAGAAATAACCAAATTTCTTTTTCAGTCATGTTTTTGACTGACTACATGAAGACATTTTGTCATTCTCAGACAATTGTTGTAATCTTGCTTTGATCCTC